TTAAGTTAATTAGAAAAATGTTGCAAAAATGTTTTTTTAACTAAATATACTTAGAAAAAATGTTTCACAACATTTTTTCGTTAAATTAATTAGAAAAACATTACACAAACGTTTTTTCTAATTAAATATACTTAGAAAAAATGTTTCACAACGTTTTTTTGTTAAATTAATTAGAAAAACATTGCACAAACGTTTTTTCTAATTAAATATGATAAGAAAAAATGTTTCGCAACATTTTTTCTTTAAAATAATTAGAAAACCATTGCGCCTGTCTCTTATACACATCTAGATGTGTATAAGAGACAGGTGTGAAACTCACCAATTATTTATTAAAATTGTGCGTTTCGCACTTTTTTCTATTAAAATGTTAATAAAATGGTGCGAAATTCACCATTTTTTGTTAAAGTAGTGCATTTCGCACTTTTTTTTTATTAAAAAATATTAAAATAATGCGAAATGCATTACTTTTTGTTACTATATACAATTAATTACCAAAATCCGTAATATTGCAAATTTCATAAATATATTACGGACCCATCCTTAATGGTTTTGCGCAACTTAATTTTTATCAATTGATCAACATATAATGCAATATATTTATAAACTCTACGCAAACGTGATATGTGAGTTATCCCAAAATTGACCGATCTACGCAAACCCGTTTGTGAGTTATATCAGTATTATTCGGGGTCCTGGTGCGCATATGCACAAATTTTAAATCCTTTAAAAAATAAAAAAGTATTTTTTAAAATTTTAAACTATAATATCTTTATTTAAAATTAGCTAATTAATAAAATTTATTATATTATAATAAGAAAATCTAATATAATTTACTTAATAGTTTAAAGCTAACTAATGTTTTATTTAATGGCCAAAATTTTCAGACTTATAATTATATTACAGTCAGACCTCTATAATTGTACACCCCTTGGGACCATATGCATAATTTTCAAAATAGTGCATTTAAAGAGGGAATGCATTTATAAAAATAAAATAATTAGAGATCATATAAGCTTAAGACTGAACCAAAAGGTACATTTAGAGAAGATATATATAGTGGGTGTAATTATGGAGAGTGCAATTATAGAGGTCTGATTGTATATAAAATGAATTTATTGGTTAACACATATTTATAATTATATATAATATTCAAATTATAATCATTCTAATTTCTAAATATTATTTTTGAAGTTATTAAATATTTTATTATTAAATTTTTTGTATTTTTTTTTAAATTGCTTGCTTTTATAATATTTTGCATGCAAATATACAATTTTTTGTTTACTTTTAATACTGATTAATATAATAAAAAATAAGGAAAATTATTACACGCTTATTAGGATTGTGCAGAATTCATTGTACTGATATTTTTGTTATTATGCCCAATATTTTTAATGATGATTGACAATATAATTATATTAGCATATGCACTAATTCTAATATCACATATACTTCTCCACTAATTAATTACGTTGTATTTTGGCGAACAGATCAATTCACTATTTATTATAAAATTACTATGAATTAATTACGTCTGTTAAAATACATTACGTCTGTTAAAATAAATTTAATTAGTATTTTGTCATTTTGACGAAAAGTATAATCACATATAATAATATTGTTATTGAACAGGGCTATATTGGCCTTCAGCCGATATTTTGACGCCCGTTCAATAACATACAATTACTTTTGCAATTTAAAAAATTTTGGCTTAAATTATGTAATTTTTGTAATTTTAAACTACATTATGTTAGCTTATTTTGACTAATAATAATAGACTTTTTACCTATTTTTTTAAATAAATACTACCTATATGAATATCAAGAAAAAAAATTACAAATTTTAACTAGAAACTGTAAAATAAAATACTATAATTCACTGTAATTTATATATTCATATATTTTATTAATAATAATTATAACTGATATAATTGATTTTTGCTTATAATGTAATATTTTAACAATAACTTTTTAATTTTACTGAAAAGTATAATTTTAGTAATATTATTTTATAAAAGTCATATATTAATAAAATTTTTTTTTTAATAAAAATTCAGATTATAATAATTTAAGCCAACATTATTACAATATATAAAGTTGATCTGAATTATTATAAGTTTTAGTCAATATATTTTATTTCAAATTTGAGTTAATTATATAAAAATTATGCAATTTTAAATGCTTATAACTTTTTATATAAATCATCTTTTAAAAATCTAACCAGTAATTTGATAGAGTTTATTATAATTTATTTTTCTTAAATTGTATTTTTTTTAAGAAATTAAAAGATTTTTAAGTATTATATTTTTATTGTTAAATATAGACTTCCAGTTTTATATCTATTTCTTTTAAGGTTGTGGGCAAAACCCCATAGTAAACGCAAAATTTGACAAAACTATATTAAAATATTAATAAAAATTTGGCAAAACTTGATTATAAAAATCATATGAAATGACAAAACTATAATAAACTCTTATAAAAAAATTGACGAAACTGAGGTTTAGACATTTTGCCAAATTCAAAAACCAGTTTAGTCTGCAACCTTAATTTCTTTAAATTTTATATTTTCTTATTTATTTTTTATCTTATAAAATTTTCTTACTTTATTAAATATGTTTTTTTGCTTGTTTTTAAATTATTTAAAATTAATTTCTCTTATTATAATTAGATAAATACAAATTTTTAAGTAATTAATATACTAAATTTCTGTTGATATAATATTTTTAATAATACAATTATAATAAAATGAAAATCTTTTATTATGTAAATTTTTTTTACTTTATTAAAACTTTTAATATTTACTTATATTTCCAAAATTATAATAATAATTTTATATTTTCAGATTTCCATTTCTGTTAACTAAATATTACCTTTTTTACTTTAAATATAAATGATAATTTTTCATATATTTACAAAATTATTACAATAGTAAAATCTTTTATTAATTTGATCACTTATTGATTTATTAAGTATTATAATACTTTATAACTAATTTATGATTATTATGTAAAGGTAATTAAGTAGACACAAAAAAAGAGTATTTTTAGTACTTTAATAGATATTAAACCAGGAGTAGAAAAATAAATGTTTACTTTTTAATAATAAAGACTATAAAATTATGCAAATGTATAAGTAATTACTTAATAATAAGAAAAAAAAGTTAGTTAAATTAAAGAATAGAATAGTAATTATATTATAAAGTGATAATAAAATTATAATAATATAAAATTGTAAATATTAGAAAATGCATAAAGAAATAGTTAGAATGTAAAATAGATAACTAGCAAAAAAAAAGTAAATCATAGGTTATAAAGTAGTAACCAAATTATAGAAATTAGATTATAGAGTAATAATCAAATTATAGATATTAGATTATAGAGTAGTAATTAGACTACAAAGTGGTAATTAAATTATAAAATAATAAACAGATTATAGAGTAGTAATCAGGTTATAGAAGGTAACTAAATTATAGATTGATAACCAGATTACTATCAGATTGTAAAGTAGTAATCAAATTATAGAGTGGTAATTAGGTATAGAATAGTAATCAAAATATAAAGTAGTACTATAACCTAGTTTTAATGTAATTATATTAAAGAGAGTTCATTAAATTTATATATAATAAAATGATGTATAATTTATACTATTATAGTAATTATTAAAAAAAAATAATTAATTATTTTTATTACAATTTATAATATAAAATAAAATTTAATAGTTTTTTTCTTTTTTTTACATTTATTTTTTTTTATAGATTTTTTATATAATTTTAAAAATTTTGTTTTTTATAGTAATTGGCTAAATGAAAAGTTGCAAAATATTTGTATTAAATATATTTTTATGTATGTTACTTTAAAAAAAAAGATTACAATCTTAATTTTAAAGAAAATTTAGTATTTATTGAATTTTTTTTTCCTTTTTTAAAGCCTCATATAAGCATAGAGCAGACAATGCTTTCATATCTGGAATTTTCCACAATTCATTCAACTTAATTAACCTAACAACAATATTTTCACCATGATCTCTTAATCCACCCAATTTACCTTCCAACTTTATTATATCATTTATATTCATATCTTTAATACACAAGCATAATCTTATAAATTCATCACTACCACCAGGAGATGGATAAGCTCCTTTATATTGATTTCCATAAGCCAATTCTGTCATATCAATCAAATCTTGATCTTTAATTACAATACCCGTTTCTTCTCTAATTTCTTCACTTGCTTTTCCGGTAAAATTACCAGATCCATCAAGCATTCCTAAAGAAAAAAAATTTATGAGAATTACATTTTTTTATTGACCAATAAAATTTGACAAAGTTACCTGCAGGTATCTCTGGAAAAGCAAGTGAAGGAACAGGTATACGTGGTTGTTCTGTTAATACAACATGTTCATTTACAGTTTCATTTTCATCTTTAGATCTAAGAATCAACAAAACTGCGACAGAGCCGCCTCTCTGAAATGTTCAAAATTGAATTTAGTTTATTATAACCAAAAGGAGAATTAATCACAAAAAATAAATTTCACTATTGATAACCATAAAAACGATTCCAGGAACATTTTTTCCGTTCTCAATTAATCTCGCGTCTACTTTAAATTTGATAAAACCTATTTTAGGACCAAAATAATCAACATTTTGTATTTCGACTTTTTTAAATTCGAGTTCTTTCTTTTTGACTGAATAAGATTCTTTTGATATAGCAGAAACCCAATCTTTAAAAGGTTTAAATTCTAGGACGGAAGCAACGTCAATGTTAGTTTGTAACGCTGTAACAGGAACGCTAGTTCCGGCTATATCAATGGTAATATTATTGTCGGACATAAGTGTTGTTCGTTGTCGTTTTAAAAAATTGGTATTTATAAAATAATTATTCCAACCAAGAAATTTATTGTGCGAAAGTTGAATCAATTTTAATTTAGGTAAAAAACCATTTAAAATGGTACAATTTGTGACCCGAAAATTATTATACATGCGAAAATATTCGAAAAAAATGATCATTATCTATACCAAATAAAAAAGCTTTAATTTATAAGGCTAATTCAATTATAATATCACAATGTTTGTATGACGAATGATATAAATAATCAAGCATAATATTGTAAAGACGTCTTTTTCTTTGCCATTACTTCTTGAATACCTATTAAAATTGTGAATGATGAACAATAATTTATTTAAGTAATAGAAAGTGAATGCAATTATTAAAAACTTACCATCCATAAAATCTTCATGGCTCAGTTCAGTTGCTCCTCTCCTCAAAGCCAACATACCAGCTTCTACACAGACAGCTTTACATTGAGCTCCATTAAATTCATCACAGCAACGTGCCAATTCCTCGTAATTAACCTCTGTTCCAACGGTCATTTTACGTGAATGGATTTGAAGAATACGTGCACGTGCCTCTTCATTTGGAAGTGGGAATTCTATCTTTCTATCAAGACGTCCTGATCGTAAAAGCGCGGGATCAAGAATGTCAATACGGTTTGTCGCAGCAATCACCTATAATAAATAAACAGTGTTTAGACATTCTCCATAACATACATATGAATGTACTCGAAACATATATAATGCACACTTTAATCCTTTCGTCGCTGCTGAAACCGTCGAGTTGATTCAATAATTCCAACATAGTTCTCTGTACTTCACGGTCACCACTTTTTTCGCTATCAAAACGTTTTGTTCCTATAGCGTCCAATTCATCAATGAAAATAATTGCAGGCGACTTCTCTTTAGCCAGGTTAAAAGCATCACGAACAAGTTTGGCACCATCACCAATAAACATCTTTAATAAATAGAAAAGGAAAATCAATTATCATTAAAATAACTTTTTGAATTTTTATATATATTCACCTGAACGAGCTGTGGACCAGCCAACTTTAGATATGTGGATTTAGTTTGAGCTGCGCAAGCTCTTGCTAGTAATGTTTTTCCAGTACCGGGTGGCCCATACATCAATACTCCTAAGAATAAACTTGATTAGTCTTGAAATAAAATTTTTTTTTTATTACTAACCAATTTTACCTTTTGGCGGTTTTATACCCAAATTTTTGAATCTTTCAGCATGTGACATTGGTAATACAATCGCCTCCACCAATTCTTCAATTTGTTTGTCTAAACCACCAATATCATTATAATCCTCGGTGGGTTTTTCGTCGACTTCCATAGCTTTAACACGTGAGTCATATCTGTAGAATGAATGTTTAATTAACAAAGTTTTTATTACTTGAACCTTTAAATTATTACTTACTCAGCAGGTAATGTGTCTAGAACCAAATAACTGTCTTTATTTACGCCGATTAAATCTCCTGGTTTTAAAGTGGTTGGATCAACAAGACCGATTAAGGGCAAGAAAATTGTCTAAAAATAATTCTCAGCATAAATTAAAATAAAGATCTCAAATTTCTTACCAATCACATAAAATCAAATCGTACATACCTGACGTGTTGAAGTCTTGATTACGGCACATTTTCCTTTTCGAACTGCATCAAGGTCAACATTAGCACCATCTTCCTCGGGTTCATCGTTTGGATCCATATCGAGTAACTAATATTGAGTTTAACATTTTAAAAAAACTTATAAAAACTAAAAAGAATTGAATTCAAATTAATTATTTAATCATACCTCAACAACATTACCCACAAGATAAGGTAATTGTTTGTTGACCTTTATTTTTTCCTTGTTATCCTTTATCTTTTCTTTCATACTATTCTGTTCGTGTGTCAAACGCATATGTTCGGATTTCATTACCTATAAAAAATTCAATCAATTTAAGATTAATTAGACAGAATAAATAATAGTAAATTAACAAAATAAGAGTATTGCAAAAAAAATGCAATGAACCGAAAGTTGGTTTTATTGTAGATACAAGAGAACTTGATTTAATGTTATAATAGCCACTGCATCGAGAACCTTATCCTTAGGCTTCATGAAATAGAATTGCCATAAAAAATTAGAAACTAGCCTTAATATCATTCTCAAGCAAACGCGTACGATTCATAATGTCATCGGTACTGGACTTGATGATATCTGCACCAAGATCTTCTTCCTCCTCCTCAGCTTTTTCCCAAATCGCCTTGTCTTCGAGGGTTGTCATTTTTATACACCGATATTGTAAAGAATTAACAGAGTTTTCAATAAATCAGATTTCGAAAAAACTGGTCACGTCCGATTGATTTTTTTTATTCAGGTTTACGTATATTAGATTACGCATTACAATTATAATTAGCGCACAAATCATGTGATAGAACAGGTATAAATTAAACTAGTTTTTTGGAATTTTATATAAGTGTAAACATGTCAGAAACTAAGGACGGTAAACAAGTGGAAATAAGCAGCAAGGATTCAGCACCAGAAGATACGGAACTAGAAGTTCAGACAGATTCTTTATTTACAAAGATCCGAAACACGCTATCGGAATTGGAAGGTGGATTCGATGACGTTGATAGCTTGCTTGAACCCTTGCTTTCACAGCCCTTGAGCGAATTAGCTCCAGGTCTGGGACCGATAGATCGCGCTAGATTATATTTACTTTATGGCTACACACTTAATTCCTTAATATCATGTCAGTTGATAATTCTCTCTTTTTTTTAAATACAATTCCTGAATATATTATATTCTAAATAATTGTAATTTTCTAGTATTTTTGGAGCTAAAAGGTCAGGACTCTAAAATAAGAATACTAGAGGAGCAATATGTAATTATTAATAGCTAAAAAATCTATATTCACAATTCTTAAATGTAATTATTGAATTTATTAACTTTTTCAAAATGAACAGAGACGTATACAAGATTGTTCGGAAAAAATAAATAATACCGTTAATCCTCCCCAACCATCATTGTCAATTAATCGCGATGCAGCTTCACGATTTGTTAAGCATGCTTTGTCGAATGTAAAAGATCGTGATCGTGATACAAGAGAGAATGGTCGAGGTATAAGCCGATTATTGTTTCAAGTTGTCATTTGTAAAGAAACTTTGTTTTACCCATATGATATACTAATGTTTAATTACAGCAACAAGTTCCGGGACACATATCAGATTCAATGACGACGAAAATTTTGGAGGATCTAGCAACAATAGAACTAATAATAGATTTATGCGTGATGATAAAGATCGAGACTATCGTTCACGTTCATCGCGGAACGATAGAGAATATAAACCATATGATCGTCGCGACCGTGGTCGTGATCGTGACCGACCGGGGAGACGAACGTAAAAGCTTTTCTACTCTCTATCTCTCCGGAATTGTATCTTATATGATACGACCAAGGAAGGGTAATTTTGTAATGTTTCTTAAACTAGATCATGTACTAAAACGTTATTCGTTTTATTTGTAGGTGAATCTTCATGTAGCGAAAGAAAAAAGTCAGAGAGAATAATAGGCGTTAAGTAGTTCGTTTAGATAGATCCGATTTATGATGTACATATTAGTCCTCGAAGATACGTATAGAATTCTGAAGATCGAGGTTATGAATTTTTCTTATTAAAAAAGATATATCAACGTGTCTTTCACAAGGAGTAGAATATAATGAAAAAAAAACACGGGCTTGCTAAAATTTAATTTAAAAATATTTTTTTAAAATAAAAGAAAAAAGAAAGAAAATATATAAAAATTACAATTACCAAGAAAAAAAATAAATAAGCTATTCCTTGTGAAAGATACGAAATATATTTGAAAATAATAAAAGATTAATATTTTTAATATATTATATATGTATAATCTTCTATAATAAAAAATTATCTTCGTAAATGGAATATATTCATCCCTGAATATCATTTTATCTATTAAAATTGACAAGGAATACAAATTAGTACAAATTATAAGACTTGTTGATAATAAAATTTAAATATTTAACTATAACATATCTTTACTTAAAACCACTTTGTAAGACTTAAATCAAAAACTTCATCAGATATCCATTCAATCACATCAAAGATCGAATATGATCTTCAGCGATGGTAATCCTCAAAATTGTGTTTTAATGATTTTTTCATCACTTGAAGTTTTTTTTTTTGAAGTTTTTTTATCTTATTGCATTCAAGACCTAGTCAAAAGCTCAACGCACAACGACTGCAATGAAACAAAACCTTCCGATTGCAAACTATTTTTGACTATCACGAAGGAATTAGAACGTTTTTTTAATAATAATTTTAACTCCTTTCAATGTCCTTATCGTTATCGACATGCGGTTTGAATCAGAGTCAAATTGTGCGGTTCTTTTTAAACTAGATCTCGAGGCAAGAAAGGTTTTTTTTTGTAGGACCAAGCACCTGGTAATTAAACATGTAGATCAATTGATTGATATTCGTGTTACATCATCCAATTACGAAGTTTTATCGAACATCGATTTTTTTATTTTTTTTAAAAAAATGTATTCCACTAGCTTAGTTCGTTCTTTCAGAGCAGCAGGTTCTAGTATGTAATAATAAATTGACTTACTCTATACTAAAGAAAATATTTGACATTTATAACTTGATAAATAGGCTCATTGCTTAGAACTTCTATGACAAGAAATGGTGTTTTTTCCATTTTGAAGAGGTAAATTCTTTCTTTCTTTCTTTCTTTTTTTTAACAGCCATTCTTGAATTCATTTATCTTGGAGATTAAAGTCATTAGATGTATTGATTCTTGGTTGTTTTGTTTAGAAATACGCGACAAGACACTACGTCAGCAACATCCCAAGGAACGTCTCAAGAAGAGATTCTCGTTAGCCAACGTGCAAAACGACCTCTTTCCCCTTTTATGATTTATCAACCGCAATTGACATGGTATATGTCATTTGCACATAGAGCTACTGGCGCAGGATTGGCAGCCGGTAACTTTATTTATGTATACAATCTTCACTATAGCTTATTTACTTTTATTCATATGAGTAGTTTCGGATAGGTCTTTATGGAACAATAGCTGCTTATGCATTTGGTGGGCCTGATTCTGACACTTTAGTTGCTGCAGTATCAACTTTACCACCTACTCTGAAACTTGCGGGAAAATTCTGCATTTCTTACGCTTTTACTTATCATACATTTAATGGAATCAGGCATTTGGTAAATTAATTGTAAAATATTATGTTTAGAAATTCTTTTACAAATTTATTCATAATTTATTTTCATATGCAGATTTGGGATACTGGAAAAGCTTTAACAATTAAAGGAGTATATGGAACGGGATATGCTGTATTGATACTTTCTACACTTTCATCTATTGTTCTTAGCGTGATTTAAATTTTTTTTGTTATTGTACTAAATATTATCATTAGAAATTATAAATTATTTTGAATAATAAACAGATTGTTGTGTATTGTTTTGGGTTTGTAAACTATTAAACATCTTTTATTCAGTTCGGTCAAATAGTAAACTTCCAAAATTTCATGATAATTAATAGGAGTCAGAAATTCTTCAGAATTTATAACCTACGAAACTATTAATGAATTACCTCTATTACCAGAAATAAGTTACCAATTAGTTTAATTGTTTTTTTATCACATATATCAATTAGGTTAATTAGGTTGAAACAATTATTTATTCCGAATTAAAGGTTTTAACAAATAATAATGTATATAAGTAAAATTCAAGAATTAGAAAAATAATAAAGTCTCCTTTTTGTAATTTGAAATTAAGACTTTCAGTTATATTAAACTTATAAAAATATTTCTTTAGATTAAAACTTTTTATAATTAATTTAAAATAAATATATATTTGTGCTTTATTAAAGATTTTTTCTTTGATTTATACTATTTCATTAATTTTAATATTTCCCATTAAATTTGCATTTATTTCTAATTTACAAATTATACCCTTCTTTAATTTCTGGATTGTGGTAGTTTTCATTTTTCTCTATATCTTTATTTTTTAATTAATAAATTTTCAAGGTAAAAAAAGCAGTAAAATATAATTCTAATATTTATTAGTTTACTTTTAACTTCATTTTTTTCATTTTTTTCTTTATTTTTCTCTTTTATTTTTTTTTCATTTCTCTTTTTTATTATATATATTTTTCTTTTTTTTCTTATTATTTTATTTAACAATTTTATTTTATTTTCCTTTTAAATTTAAAAATATACTTAAAGAAAATGAATTTTAATTATATAACTTAATACAATATATATAATATAATATTTAAATGGATTATTTTATATAAAATATGGTGAAGTTATGCACTTGCACATGATAGTGTTGATAAAATTAAGTAAGCGATTTGTGTAATAAGCATCAGTTATAAAAAAAACCCTTGTTTGATATTTAGCTTTTATTTGATATTTAATCCTTTATATTTGTATTTTTTAATTGATATTTTATTTTATTTTTTATTTTTTAATCATAGGATTTTATTGTTATTTTCACTTTTTATTTATTCTTTTTATTTTTGGTATTTTATCTTTTTATTCTTTAATTTTAAAATTTCATTATTTTTATTCTTTAATTTTGTTCTTTTTATTTTTAATAAATTTTTTTTTTATTATTTTCATTTTTTAATTTTTACTATTTTTAAATTTAAAATAATATAAGTTTAATATTATTAATTTACTATTATTATAATTTGATTTCATATGGGTATTAAATATTATTTGAATGTGAATTTGATTGTTATTTTTTTTTTAAATATATTTTATTTTTTAATATTAAAAGTTTATTATTTTTCTAAAAATAAATAATTAAACAATAGTACCTTTTTTAATTAATAAACTATTAAATAAATGATTTTTAAAAATATTATAAACATATTTTTTATTAAATAAATTTCTTAAAGTTAAAATAAATTTAGAAAAATGAATAATATTAAATTTTACTTTAGATTATAAATAAATTAATTTATTAATAGAATAATTAATTTACAGCTAATTGGATTTTATTAAGTAATTATAAAAAGTCAAATTAGTAATAGTAATTATAATTACAAGTATATATAAAGAATAAATTATATATATATTATATATATATAGAAATCCAATTAATTTTTAGCCTATATAACTACTGAAAAATAAAATTTTATTAATATAAAAATATAATACTTTTTTTCAATATATATATAAATATAATCCAACTTTTATTATTCAAAATCAATAACAATTTTTTTATTGTATTTTGTATCTTAATATATTACTAATATTAAATTGGCATTTTACTGTTTTTAAATATGCAAGATCTAGTTATTGTATATACTAACTAAATTAAATCAGAAATTATGGAATTTTACAACCAATTAAAATTTAATATATGTCATTGATTTGGCTTATATCACTTTTTTAACTAATTATAAATAATATTTAATTAAAGCCACACGTAGCCGTTACATGAACATCAGACTTTTTTTAGAGCTACTATATTTTATAATCTTATAATGGGGAACATTGCCATTCTTGGAAAAAAGATCCAGAGGTCACAAGACATTCAGTTTCACAGCAAGCCACTAAAATTACAGAATTTTGCATCAGGCACAACGAAAAATATTAAAATAAACTGACTTAGGCTTTTTGTTTATAAACCACAAGCATTCATTTAGAGTACCTGTGACCTTTGCTAAACTTTTTCATATTTAAGTGTAATTTTTTTGAGCACGGCAGGATTTGCGCGGAGTTCAAGTTTTTAATCATATACACACATATACATTTAATGGTTATAAACAGTTAACATGCCACATCACCATCCCTCTGAAGAAACGTCTAAGGCGAGTTTAAGAGCATGGTGGAAGCAGTTTACTGCAAAAAATGCAAAACGAGAAAACGAAGTAAAAGGAAAAGGTAAACTATGAAACTTGTATGAAATTGAGGTCGAGTTTTACTTAAGTATGAAACGAGATTAATAGACGTACATGGAATAGATGAAAAGTAATGTTGCGTAAAATGATTGGATTGATATAAAATTGAAAAGGATATTTCTAAATCCTAAAATGATCATAATTCAAATTCATTTTTACAATATTATTCATATCATAATTAGGTACTAAAGGAATTTTTGGTGTGAGACTCTCTGAAGGTATCGAATATGCAAGCGTACCGATATGTATGGCTGGCGCAGATGGACAGCAATATGTATATGGATATATTCCTACAATAGTTGCAAAGTGTGGAATGTATCTTAAAGAACAAGGTAATAATTCTGTTTGTTAAGCTAAAAAGAGTAATTAACTATACTTTTATTTAAAGTACCATCTGACTCATTATAAGTTTCATTTTATGTGATTAGCCACAACAACAGAAGGCATATTTCGTTTGAGTGGATCTGCAAAGCGGATAAAAGAATTACAAACGATTTTTGATTCGCCACCATCATACGGAAAGACATTAACCTGGGTGGGTTATTCTGTACATGATGCCGCAAATATACTGCGAAGATATTTAAACCATTTACCAGATCCAGTAATACCACATCAGTGGTATGAACAATTTAGATCGGTTCATGGTAAGAGGTCAATTAAACAAAAATTTAAATACGGTCTTTTTTAATGCTTTAATTTCTAATTTCTGTTTGATATTTCTTAACAAAAATGATAGATACTTGTACCGATGTTAATAAAAGGGTACAGCTGTATCAGAAATTGATCGCAAAGCTACCTAAAGAAAACCAGCATCTACTTCTTTATATTCTTGATCTTCTTGCTGTCTTCTCGTCGAAGTCGGTACAAAATTTGATGTCAGCAAAGAATTTGGCATCAATTTTCCAGCCGGGTATTCTATCACATCCTGACCATGACATGGCACCCGAAGAATACAAGTTATCTCAAGAAGTTTTAGAATTCCTAATTGATTATCAAAATTATTTTTTGATGCCTGGTGGACAGGAAAATAACAAGACGACGACAATTTCAAATAATAGGGAAGCTCAAGGAGGAAGTACAAAGCGAGATATAAGGTACAATGGGAATCATGGGATCAATAGCGTAGGAGCTAGTGGTTCAATATCTCTAAAAGAACCGCATGACCTAAATAATCTACCTATTGCACACTTGTCATTACGAAGATCAAGTTTAAGCCTTGAACATCGAAGTAAATCGACAGATTCCATAACGATGTTATCGGATGTCAATAATGAACAAGATACGAACGAAGATCTGAAACGACGTCAAGATCAACAAAATACTACTTCAACGACTTTAGTCCGTGAAAATACTACAGGTAGTCTAAAAAGAAGTAAAACATTGCCAAGTAAGAGACCGAAATATGAAGGGGCCCAAAAAAGAAATGACGGAACCCAAACAACACCTACGACTGGCAGTTCGAACGGTAATGATATTTTCCGTCCATAGCTATCTTCTATTCCTGCATTCATCTATTTGTGGTTTTGTTCTTTCGAATTATTGGATCCGAATTTTCTTGTATTTTCTTTAATTTTTTTATAATATGGGTTTTTTAAAGTATATGTGGTTACTGGGGAGAAAGGGTATGTGTATAGAGAAGGCTTTGCTCTTTAATTATTCTCCCATACCACCATTTTAATTAAAGCATAGAATTTCATTTCTTAATTAATATTAACTTTATAATCTCGGCATGACAGAAATAAATATTTTATATATACAACTTACACACGAGAAACATTACATTTATTAACTGTATGTTTTTTTTTCTCTCTTATTTTTTTTTTTTGCTTTTCTACTCTAACCTCTAACACCTTACGGAACCTTAACGCGAACTTTGGGGGAAACCTTTGTATTATATTTTATTTTACTCTTTTTGGAAAATAAAATCATTTTTTGTTGACCTTTATAAACCCCCAAAATATATGTATTTTTATAAATAAAATTCTAATAATATGTTATTTAAATTACAATTTTGTTATTTAATAATAATATATATATTATAGATATAAACAAAGAAGATAAAAAATCAAAAAAAAGACAAAGTTTAGTACAGCTTGTACCATTAATAACTTTACCGAAAGGAAATAATAATGATCGATCAGGAAAATCTTCGCAAAAATCTAGAAAGAAATCATTATCAATATCATCAACATCATTAAAAAGAACTTCAAGATATAATAAAAATGGTACAAGTGGAAACATTGAACCTATAAATATTTCTTCAGTATCTTCGTCAATGAAAAGCGGACCGTCATCGCCGAGATCACTATCATCACCAAAGTCTCTTACATCGCCATCATCACTTAGTGGAAAGAAATTAGTTGATGTTATGTCAGATGAAAAAGAGAATGCATCAATAACCAGTTCATTAAATTCTTCAGTAATCAAAAGACGTAAACGCGGCGATAAAAAAGGTAAAAATGCACAAGAAACTCAAGAAGGGCGAGAAGATAATGGAAAGGAGAGAATGAACTTTTTGTTGGAGCTAAGAAGGAAAATGTGGTTTAGTGGCGGTGGTAATGGTGGTAGTGGTAGCAGTGGTAGTAGTATTGGAAGTAGAAATAGTATGGTAAGTGTTGGAAGTGTTGATAGTAGTGGAGAAGAAAAAACATTGGAACAATTAAGAAAAGGAAATTAATTATAATACGAATTTCATTGATTTAATTGTATATTAACTAATATTTATTATTATGTTTTTATTATTTGTATTTTAGCTAAAGTTATATTAATTCTATTAGTAAATAATTATTATTTTGTTTTTTTATGTTTGAATAAAGTCAATAAAACATTGTAATTTGATGAGTGTAATTCTAAAAATTATATTAAGTATTAGATTTCTTTAATTCATCATGATTATTGTCATATATAATCGAATCGATATTTAAGTATTCAGCAGTAAAAATTTTAAATATATTGTTTAAGTTAAATACTACAACAGGGTCAATAGCACTAGCATTATCCTATATTAATATTTTAAAAAAAGAGAGTTTGTATTGTTATTTTTTTTTTTAAAAAAAAAGAACCAATTCATATAGTACTTACAGATAATTTATGCCAATCGTCAGGAAATGGAGCTGGAATAATATGTAATACAGGAACACCCTTTTTCAAGAAAGGCATGTGATCATCTTCAATATGAGAATAATAATTATTTATAGAAAATTGATTAAAATAACTGTCATGTTCTTCTAAACTGTCTTCTACATTATTTTCTTTAATTTCAATATTCATATCACCTTTTAGATTTTTTAGATTACTAATTAAACTACCAGGCAATTTTATTAAGTTGTTTGTGGATAATCTAGATTCAATTTGAATCAATGAATTAAACATCCAAGAAGTAGTAGTGAAATAATTTGATATAAATGGCTTTGAAGCACCTAATAAATCTAATAATATTAATACTTCTATACCATTTAACATATTTTTTCCTTTATTTTGTGATGATTCCGTATCTATTACATATGTATTTTCCCATTTAGCTGCTAAATGTCTAAAAATTTAAAAATATTGTAGTCAACCAACTTAATCATAAATAAAATCATAAAGTAAAATAAAACGAACATACCTTGATCCATAAAGAGAATCGGTACTACTCCAATAATTAAAGGCTTCTTCGCCATCAAAGAAAATAATCTGAAGTGTAGTACTATGTTGTTTTCCCTTATCGAGATACTTATCCAAACTATATGCTAAGTCCATCAACATAGCGCAAGGTACAGCACTATCTGTAGCACCAACAAAGCCACCTTCGTCAAAATATTTACTATCAAAATGAGCAGCAAACACTAACCTATTAGTAGCTTTAATATCTTTAGTCACAATAATGTTAGTGAAAGTTATTTGTCCATGCGGAGTCATATCTGTAAATGTGTCTTCCTCAACATGCCAATTAAGTTCGTTGAATTTGGAGGAGATAAATGAGCGAACTTTTGTATTATTCTCAGTACCAGATACGCGAGGAATAAGCAATGAGGGGAGAAAATCGGTGAATATTGGTGAAGTAGTATTTGTGAGAATCCGTAACGATTGTTCTGATAATGTCTTGTATGCATTCGTTGTATTCGATGTAAAGTATAAAACATATACTATTAATGAAATAAGTAATACTCTCATTGTAATTAAATAAATTAAATATATTAAAGGACTGACTGCCAAGTTGTAAGAAAAAGTTGAATCTGGAAATTCAATTACGTAACTGGTATATGTTGTGGTGCACCGTAATTCAACTATCCCTTTGATTTTTGGCCTGCATTATGGCGTTATGCGATGAATAAGCTTTCGCTTACCGCATATAAATAGTGGGGATCCCAAAAAAATTATATTTTTGGAATATGTATTAAGAGAGTAACTCTGTATTTATAGAATTTATACAAAAATGTTAATTTGCATTAACGTAATTATACATTTTTATAAGTATGTTTATATAATTTTTTATATTATAACTTTATTAAAATTTTAAATCTAACTTACAAATTAATATATATATATTTATTTAAAAGTTTTAAAAAATTTTATTATGCTATATTTTATTAATACAATTTACTAAAATTTGATTAAACGTACAGTGGCACGTGATAGCGTTAATGTTATTATCGTATTAAAGTTTAATAAATTTTCAAATTTTTAATTTTGGCTAATAATTTGGGCCAAAATTACGCTTATTTCGATTATATGAAGTCACGTGGATGAAAATTTTTGTGGTGATTGTGGTGATACTCCCTCGCGTCTTATTTCAACTGCTTGCTTTTTACAAATAATTTACAATGATGACCACATCTAATAGTGATTCGCCTTCCTCCCCAAATAATGAAGAATCCACTGGTATCAAATTTCTTTCCTTTTTTTTTTATTGAAATATTATTGTGTTCATGGAATTTTTTTTTAAAAAAAAAGAGGAAACGAAACAAGAACGTGCGGCTATAGAAGAAAAGATAGTTAACGAGGAATATAAAATATGGAAGAAAAACTCGCCATTTCTTTATGATTTGGTTATTACTCACGCGCTTGAATGGCCTACACTAACGTGTCAGTGGTTTCAAGATATAGAAAAGTATATATTTGATATTTTCACTCATGATTTTATTATAGAATGTTTATATTTATTCTTATTCTAGACCTGAAGGAAAAGATTATACAATTCAACGCTTATTAATTGGCACTCATACATCAGATAATGATCAAAATTATGTTGAAATCGCTAACGTACAACTTCCAAAGAGTGATTCCGATATTGATCCTCGAAAATATGAAGAAGAAAAAGCAGGTTTTATATCTCATTTATTTCATTTATTATAAATAAAAATAAGTTATGTATATTTTAATGAAAAGTAATATAGTGTCTAATTAGAAGCAGGTGCACATGGTGAAAGTCGAATAACAGTTGTTCAGAGGATAAATCATGACGGCGAAGTTAACAGAGCGCGATACATGCCTCAAGATCAAAATATAATTGCAACAAAGACTGTAACTGGAGATGTATATATATTTGATCTTACAAAGCATCCATCTAGGCCTCTTGCAGAAGGAGTTTGTAACCCTGAACTAAAATTGCGAGGACATACAAAAGAAGGGTAAATTTTTATTATTAATCGGTTATTTTTCTAATTTATTCTCACCAAATTATTGATTATTACTTAGATATGGGTTATCTTGGAGTCCATTTGATAAAGGTCATATTTTAGATGCTTCAGAGGATACTACTATTTGTCATTGGTATTATTTGTTTTATGAAGTTAGGTTTTTTATGTTTTAAATTTCTAGTTTCAATAGCTTATCCTATTATACATTGTAGGAATATTAATGGAAATACAAGAGAAACAAGAACAATGGAGCCATTTAGAGTTTATCGAGGACATGAAGCAATCGTCGAGGATGTTGCGTGGCATACGAAAGACCCACATATTTTTGGTTCTGTAGGGGACGACCAAAAACTACTTATGTGCGTTATAATATAACCTTATTTTTTTGTGGCATCTTATTCATAATAAATTATATTTTTAGTTGGGATGTGCGTCCAGATAGAGCCGATAAACCAGTACATTCAATTATCGCTCACCAAAGTGAAGTTAATAGTTTAGCATTCAATCCGCATAATGATTTCATTTTGGCAACTGGTGCAGGTGATAAGGTATATTTTTATGTATTGATCATATTTTATTTTTGTTTTAATAAAGCATATTAAAAATTGATATTTATTTCTTAGACCTTAAGTTTATGGGATCTACGTAATCTTAAAATTAAGTTACATACACTTGAACAGCATACCGGTGAGATTGTTCAAGTTGAATGGTCACCGCATGACGAGACAATTCTCGCATCTGCTGCAGGTGATCGTAGAGTTAATATATGGGATTTAAGTAGAATCGGTTCAGAACAAACGGCTGAAGATGCTGAAGATGGTCCGCCAGAATTATTGGTATATAATAATATTGTTTGGAGAGTTATATATATTTTTTTTATTATATATATTAATTTATTTTCCTTCAAAAAGTTTATGCACGGTGGACACACTAATAAGATTTCGGATTTTAGTTGGAATCCTCATCTTCCTTGGGTTGTTGCCAGCGCTGCAGAAGATAATATTATCCAAGTGTGGCAACCGGCTGCGAATATCTATACTATTGATGAAAGGGAAATTCCAGCTGATGAATTAGAAGATTAAAACAAAAAAAAAAAATAATTTTATTTTTTTTTTAAGATTTCGTGATTTTATTAAGGGAAAAAATTATATTGAGTTTAATAAATTACAAATAATACAAATAGCCAAGGTAACTAGACTAACTAGACTATTTACCCTATTGAATTTTCACTCACGTGATTTTGCAAAAATTTTAATATTTCGCCAAATTAAAACTATTTAAAAACGATAAAATAAAATTTGAACATGTAGTGTGAAACGAACAAATTTTGTTACTATTTACTATTTAATAATAATGTAAATAATAAGCCGCAGAAGTGGCAGATCATAGAATAAACTGCCGGTAGATTTTACTAATCCTTGCCGGGTCGTATAAAATCAGAAAAAGAATTTTTTTTAAAAAAAACGTTAAAGATGGTTCATAACGAAACAAACAATGGCTTCAAAGCCAATACAGCAAATTCTGCAGCTTCCAATAATACTACATATCTTGACCCGAAACAAGCAAAAAATTATTTGAAGGAATATTCTTCACCAGATGGATTATCAGCAGAGGAAATAATGAATAGTATAGTAAATGGAGGGTTAACATATAACGATTTTTTAATACTACCAGGATACATTGATTTCCCCGCATCGGAAGTTTCTTTAGAATCAAGAATAACTAGGAATATTGTATTAAAAACTCCTTTTATGAGCTCTCCTATGGATACTGTAACTGAAACCGATATGGCTATAAACATGGCCGTAAGTATGAATAAAATCGTTTAAGAAAACTTTGATTTGTTTATAAAATGATTATTCACCTAAGATACCCTTCTTTTTTATATTATATAGTTGCTTGGTGGAGTTGGGGTTATTCATTGTAATTGTTCACCTGAGGAACAAGCTGAAATGGTTAGAAAAGTTAAAAAATTTGAGAATGGATTTATTACAGATCCTGTTTGTTTAACCCCGAATCACACTGTTGCTGATGTGCGTAGAATTAAAGCTCAGTTTGGTTATAGTGGTATTCCCATCACTGGTAATTATCTTAACTTTTGAAAATTTTTTTATTTGGAATATGAAGAATTAAAATATATATATCTTTCGTTCTTCTGTAATGGTTTTAATTAACCTTGAGGAAAATTCTTTTTTTATCTGATCTAAATGTCGAGTTTTTTTTTTTTTTTTTTTTNTTTTTTTTGTCATTTATCATTATTTACGAACTTCATGCCATTTTTTCTCTAGCTAACGGGAAATTATATAGCATACTTTTAGGTATGGTCACAGCAAGAGATATTCAATTTCACGAAGACGATAATACATTACTAAAAGACGTAATGACAACGGATTTGGTAGTTGCGCATGAAGGAGTAACATTAGAAGAAGCTAATCAAATTCTGCGTCAAAGTAAACGCGGAAAATTGCCAATAATAAATCAAAGAGGAGAATTGGTGGCATTATTAGCACGTAGTGATTTATTGAAAAATTTAAATTTTCCCTTGGCATCAAAGTCAGCGCATTCAAAACAATTAATTTGTGCAGCAGCAATCGGTACAAAACCGGACGATAAATTACGTCTAAAAAAATTAGTAGATGCTGGTTTGGACATAGTGGTATTAGATTCTAGCCAAGGAAATAGTTCATTTCAAATTGAAATGATTAAACATATTAAAAATACTTATGGGGATAGTTTGGAAGTTATCGCTGGTAATGTTGTTACCAGAGAACAAGCTGCTGCTTTAATTGAAGCTGGCGCCGACGCTTTAAGGGTTGGTATGGGTAGTGGTAGTATTTGCATAACTCAAGAAGGTAAGTAATTATGAATAATATCTATTCACAGAGTGAGATTTATTTTTAGATTCTTTTAACCAACTTTACTTCTCTTTTTTCATCAAACTTGTATGTAAGTAATGGCCGTTGGAAGACCACAAGGAACAGCAGTATATAATGTAGCAGAATTTGCAAATAAATTTGGTATACCAGTAATAGCGGATGGAGGTATACAAAATGTAGGTCATATAACAAAAGCACTAGCATTAGGTGCATCTGCAGTAATGATGGGTAGTTTACTAGCTGGAGCAACTGAATCACCAGGAGAATATTTTTATCATGAAGGACAACGATTGAAAAAATATAGAGGTATGGGCTCATTAGATGCAATGGAACGTCGCACTCCAGGAACATCTGGTGCTCCTAATAATGCAGCTAAAAGATATTTTAGTGAAAGAGATGTAATTAAAGTAGCTCAAGGTGTTGCTGGTGCTGTCATTGATAAAGGTAGTATTAGAAAATTTGTTCCTTATCTTATCACCGGTCTTCAACATGGATTGCAAGATATTGGTGCAAGAAATTTAGCTACTTTGGGAGAGAATGTTAGGAGTGGTAAAATTAGATTTGAATTAAGAACTGCTGCTGCTCAAATTGAAGGGGGTGTTCATGGTTTATACTCGTAAGTATTCATTGTTCTTTTTTGGACAGGCTTTGGTTTTTAAAGTGATGAAAGTATTAATCTAGTTTTGTTTTTTAGATACGAAAAACGTCTTTTCTCTTAAGTATAATATCTTACTAAATTTGAAATTATGAAATATACTTTGGAGTTAAAATTATTTTATTAGAAATTATTAAATTTATAAATTTACTAATTATTAAATACGAAAAAAAAAGGAATAAAATTAAACAAATAGCAATTTTACAAGTTTAATCTATAAATTATACGGAGTTTTAAAAACTTCATTATCAATATTACCATTTACATTGTTATTGTTATTAAAATTACATGATGTGGGTGATTCTAGATTTTCATTTAAAATTTGTTGAATTGTTAATACTGCTTCTTTTAACGTTCTTCCAGATCCTACAATAAAAAAAAGTGAATAAATTTCTCAATGAAACAAAAAAAAAAAAAATATATATATATATATAAAATACATACCATCTATTGAATTTAAAAATCTTACAAGTTCTTTACATAACTAAAAAAAAAAAATATTTACTCGAGTTAATAATAATATAATAATAATAAAGTTTAATTAAAATTTACCTCATAATCTTTTGCTTTCATAGCTTTAGATAATAGTCTTATTGTATCCTTGCTACTATCAGCACTTGGTTCTAATGTATGTAAAACCAATAAATATGACGTTGCTGTTTTAAGCAATCCAGTAGACATGCACCTCTATATCAGATTTTGATAAGAAAATTTCAGATCAAGTTATATATATATATAAATTATTGAAAACTCTGAAAACTTTAAATTTACCTCAAACAAATCTTTAGGACTTCCAACAATAGAAAATAGATAATCCCATAGTGCTACTTCAGTTTTACGTGCACATCCAACAATAGCATCGAGTGAATGTGGAAAATTATTTAAAAATTTTACTACCTTCGGTAAAACTGCCCCTATAATTAAAAATATTTTTTTTTAAAAAAAAAAAACAAAAAGGTGCCTACCAATAAGCAATCTAAATAACTGAAATAACATACCTTGAGCAGTTCCAATTGCATGTTCTGCTTCATCTTCTAATACATGATGTAATAACATTTCAACTGCATGTCCAAAATAAACTAATTTTTGATAACTCGTTGCAAATGCAACTGATTCTTCTTCAAGTCTAAAAAGTATTATAAAAATAAATAAATAAATGCCTAACTATTTAACTTAAGAGAATTTGAAATTTAAGATATTACTAACTCTTTAGTCAGCATATATCGAAGTATGTGTTGCAGAAATAAATGTGTCTAGATTAAAAAAAAATTATAATTAATAAATTGTATAAATGAATTCTCATCTAAATTAATTATACATACATTTGTCATTAGTTTAAATACTGGGAATTCTAATGATTGCCTAATAGATGTTTGTTGTTGAACACCAACAATAATTCCTTTATCAAGTAAAACAGCTAATAAAATTCAAAAATAAATATATATTAATCTTGTTATATCAAATATTAAACAATAAATTAATTACCAAACAATTCTAAACTTACATAAAGGATAAAACTCAAGCGAAATACGTAAACATTCTTTAGTAGCAGATAATAAAACATCATTCTGCCAATCTCTTGCACTTTCCTCATTCGACCAAATATTCATCCATATCTACCAAGTAAAGATAATCAAATTTCATTTAATCGAAATAGAAAATACATAAATCAATATAAAAATAATGGTCTTATTTACCTTTACTCCTTGCCCATCACATGCCCATAAAGAATTCTTTAAACTTCCAATTCCGCGTGTAGACATCCAATAAAATTCTATCTTATCAGCAAGAATATGTAAATCGTATTGTACTTCTCCTTCGTCACTCTAAACAATTATAAAAAAGGGTAAACTATAGTGTCGAGTCAAACACATTTCAATAAATATTTAATAAACATACTTTTTTTGGATGTAGTAGCACAAGTTTACCATCAATTAAAAAGATAATAGAAGCAGATTGAATAGTTTCAGGTGTAAAAGGTCCTAATTGGTTCATATAAAATATATAACAGAATTCAACTAGCAAATACAAATTAATTAAAAATAAAAAATAATTACTGTGTGATCTTGGCTGAAACCATGATATAGATCTAACTCTAGCTGGAGCATGAATAACACCAACAAATGAAATTTGTTGACACAACTCAAGTAAAACTGAATCTCTACCATCTGATGATGATGTTACTATAAGATAATGATACATCATATTATCTCCACAATATACCAATAAAGCATTATCCATGATACTTAGATATAATATAGTACTTGGTATTGCAATATTTTGTATGATATGAATGTTATCTAAATTTGTTTCACGAGAATACATTCGTATCTGACATAAAAAAATTAAATTTCAATACATAATTCGTTTAAAATATTAATCTATTTCATATATTAATACTCACCTCATATGTATGAGTTCGAACATTCTCACATGCAGCTACTAAAGTTTGTTTATACCACAATAATCCACCTCGAACAGCAAATTCTTGTTCCTAAAAAAATTAAATTTAAGCAACCAAGAACAAACTCTCGAATAAAAATAAATTTAATTCTTCCTAAACAAACCTGTTGTTGATTGCCGAAAAGTTTCCATCGACCGGACGAAACATTGTGATGTGCTAAACCACGTCGTCCAGCAATAGCAATATATCTACCATCACTACTTATTGATGCATACTGTTTATTTAAATAAAACCATTAGAATTTTTTTGATAAATATACCTGCTAACTAAGCTATAATTGGCTATAATTATATTTCAATTACCTTAATTGGCCAATTATCACTTATATACATAATTGGTATCTATATATGATATATATAAAGTAGTTAATTAAAAGAACTTGTACAAATTTATTTTAATGCTTATTACACACAGGAATATGTTGCCAAACTATAGTATCAGGATTAATTGCACTAAGATCTTCTTGATCTCCTCCACGATAAAGTAATAAACGATCATCCATTTGTAAAAACCCTCTTTTTGCATTGTCCTATAAATCATGTAATAACAAACACTATTAATTAATAATTATAAATTAAAAAAATACGCGAACTCTCAGATACCACTTACTGGACTATGAATCGTCGTTACCGCAGATTTAGCAAATGGAAGAGTATATAATTGAACTTCTAATTAACAAAAGAAAAAACTATTATTAAGAATAATTTTAGATGCTCAATACCCAGTAAGTCAAAATTATTAATATTTAAATATATCTAAGCATTACCTTTTTCAGTCCATGCAGTATGCAAAATGAAAAGTTCGCAATTTCCTGAACTCCAAAACTATATTATAACATTATAACGTTTAAATATTTTCTATAAAAAAAAATCAATAAATTATTTCACTTACCAGATCATTCACGCCATGTAAGAATGAATCTTGAGCAGTTGGCCTATTAAATAAAAGATAATTTTTTTTTTTAAAAAAAAAAAAAATTAAGATTATAAGAAATATTAAAATAATATTTACTTTGATATAGGCCAATCATCTTTAACAGTTGTCATTAATAGTCTACCGTAAACACTCCATACGGCTAATCCTTCATTTTTCCATCCAACCGCAATTGCATGTCCATCAGATGTCCACGCAAGTGCTGTGACAGGTCCTGTAGATGGTAAACATGATTGTTAAGGATAAATAACAAAATTATATAATTTTATTTTTCTAAAAAAATAAATAAATAAATAAACTTTCATTAAATCATAAAAAAAAGGATATTTGATGTTGATTCTATGTGGTCCCATATTAACAACTTATGTGAAAGATGAATGCTTCCATTATAATTCTTTGCAAAATATACATAAATCATTCCACTAATTAAAAAAAATTTAAAATTTAGAGTCAAAACAAAAGAAGATTAAATCAAAATAAACATTAATCTTACCCTTCTGTCCCTACGGCCAATAAAGAAAATTTAGCATTAATAGCTATACAAGTCGCTCTGACATCCTTTGCTGGTTCAAGGTCACCACTAGAATGAAAACAGAATCCTGTCCAAAATAATGGTGGAGCTTTATGATTATTTTCAATCTAAATATAATATATATATATATATATATATATGTATATATGTAAAATAAATTTCAAAATGCTTTTTTTTTTTAATAAATTATCAATCATAAAACCAAATAAGTCATTACCGAAGGTCTATGTTCATTAAATTGTACAGCATAAGCTTTTCCATCAGTAGTTATCCAACCATGAATATTTATTCGACGATTATACACAATAGATGAAATTCCAGCTAAAATTATAAACAAATAAATAAATAAACGTTCATTATATTTAAATTGGGATTTCTATTTTTAAACTACGTAATAATAATTACAACCAAATAGATATTATTTTCAACCTTATTTTAGTCGTAGAAAAAACGAGGAAAAACAATAGATAAAATCGCAATTTCCTATATACTTAACGAATAATTTAATCCCCACGTAATAATTTAACAAACTAGAAATGAATATCTGATATGAGTACAAATCCTAACCTTTTTTATCTTCCAAAAATTCTAAACGAGCCAAAATATTTGTCTTTGTTCCATTCGGCCCATCTTGCCAAGGAATACATTGAATAGCAGGAGGATTTTTAGTTGTAACTATTAAAAATTCTTCAATACCAATTCCTCTATTTTTTTTAAAAAAATTTTAAAGGTTACATCTTATAACGTTTAATTAAATAAAATCAATCATTTTGGTTCCTAATTCAAATGCATAAACTAAACCTACTCACGCCTCCATCCCGGCATCAATTCTAATAGTCATCCGGAATTTTAATAAATATGTTCTTATTCCATTGCCCTCACCAGCTCCAGTAATATAATGATGAGATACTTGACCAAACTGATATTTATAACTCTTATCTTCAAAAGTGAGTACCGAATAAGTAAATAAGCAATTTTGAGATGTCTAACAAATCATATAGTAAAGAATTACCATTATTATAAACGTTAAGTTAAAATTATTAAGGAGAATTTATCTTTAACTCTTACTTGAACCAAAATAAGAGTTCCGTCAGGTTTCCAAAAAACATCACAATTATCTCCATACTCTTCAACAGATTTCGAAGTTCGAATCACTTGTGATATCATAGCTGTAGGCTATAATTTATACATAAATATATATATATATATATACAAAACAAAACATAATTAAGCTTTTATTTTAAAGATAAACGTAAATATACAAAAGTTTAGGACATTCTAAGCTAAATTCTTTATACAGTTATGCATTACCCTAACGCTCCATAATTGTAAAGAATTTTTTGTCAGAGTGACAAATAAATTTCCTGTTTTATTACGTCTTAGTCTTATGATGGTATTTAACGCGTCTGTATTTTTAAGATCTATCGTTTCACCAGAACTAGAGGGTTCTTCAGCTGGGTTGAATTCATTATAATCTGGGGGAATAACAACTAAAGCTTTCGCGATACCGCTAGCCCAATACATAATTATCTATTGTAAGAAGTATAGTAATGAAGCTCAAATTTCGTAAATTTCGTCATTATAGAAATTGGTTTCCACGTGGCAACAAATAAGTCTAACACAAAACACGAAAGATGCACAAGTATCTCATATGACTTCCGCCATGAACTAAAAAAAAGTTTAGGATAAATTACATTTTGAAACAATATAATACGTATATATATATATATATACATGTATATAAATATAGAACAACATTTATTCATAATTCATAACCCAATAACTTGGGTTACCAAAAGAGAGGAAATAATCTACAATGTACTTTTTTGATTCTAAGATATCAGTTGTTTTGCATATATACTTGCATATGTCAATTTTTTTGTGGATATTATTAAAAGTGGGCGTAAATTTTTTTTTGAGTTCTGAATCTTTTAACAAAAATTTAATTGTTCAATTGAATAATGAATATTCGGGAATCGGGATTGTTGTAGATAGACTACACGAAGATTTTGATTTTTTTTTTTTTTAGATCTTTTTGAGGGATAACAATAATGACTTTTGAGAATTCATTCAATCAAAAAAACTTTATTATTAAATTTAGAAACATTTCTACACAAATATTTTTTAAAAAAAATATTTTGGGGGAATACTAAAAACACGTGATATTACTTAATTTTAGTTTAGTTTTAGGTTAATAAAATCGATGTTTTATTTATTTATTTGTTTTGTGTGGAGTACTTGGAATAATACTTAACGGAATTCTTATTAAGTGAAATTGTATGTAGTCTTGTCGACGATCTGGCGGTTATATTTCATATGCTTTTTTTTATAATTTTGAGAATGTCATTCTTATTTCATAATCACATACTTATATACATTATATATATACATTATATACATATCAGATATATTTCAGTATTTATATCAATATTAATATATTAATAATATATTAATATATATATAATATATATATATAATATATTATATTATCTGTTATGTATTTATGTATGTATGATTTTTTTATGGCGAAAAAGGTCTCAAATCTTTTCTAACTTAATTTACACACATAAACTTATTTGATTATTTCATTTCCATCATTCTACGTTCTCCCGACGCAAATTATTGGTATTATTGTATTTAAGTAGTTGAAGCTCGTTGGTTGTGGCATTGTTGATATATTAAAAAACATAGATAAATTCGTCGATGAAGAAAAACATGATTGTAATTTATCTACTAAAATGGTTCGCGATAAATTAAGCTTAACCATGAATTTTTATTTTTTTAATAAATAATGAATCACTTAAATTGAATGTTAACTAAACTTGGTTTAAATAATTAGGTGACGCTAAATGAATAATTCTTAGGCAGGAATAAAAGACGGTTTGGGAAGCTGCAAAAAGCGGAGAAAATTGAATTTTTGTTTTATTGTTGTTTTGGATATTTTTCTTCCTTCTTTTTTTTTTTTTTTTTTTTTTTTTTTTTTTTTTTTTTTTTTTTTTTTTTTTTTTTTTTTTTTTTGTTATTCGTTAATATCTTTGTACAACAAAAGAAAAAACTACATATTTTATTTATGCATTTTGTCACACAACTTGAGCTAAGTGATTTTTTTTATACAAAAATAGTATCATAACTTTATAGCCGTCCGTCCCGTGTATATTACTATAAGATAAACCGATAATCCTTTTGATTTTCGGAAATTTGCTGTTGGATACTCGAATACCGGAGTTCAAACAACTTTCCGTATTTTTCTTAACACACAAAATTGTGCAAGCAAGGCATCTGTTTAAGCAGAAAAGAGGATAAATATATAAAACTATATATATATATAATTTTGCCAGTATTTTTTTCCTGTGGGATTGTTTGGTTTTATTACGGTAAATAACCAGATAGTTTCATATTAGAACGGACTATTACTAATTTATTAAAGATTCGAGTTTTTTATTTCCTTGACAACGAACGAAAATAAAAAAAAGTAATTTTGCTTCGTCGTTGTTCTTTTGTAAATATATATATATATATATTTCTTTTTTTTTTTCTTCTTTTTTTATTCCATTATTTTATTATCTTAAAAAACTTGCGTCCCTATCATAAGTATCTAAACTTTTCCCCGACTTAGAATGACCCCATGCAATTAGCTCCTTCTCCAGTACAATTACATACACAAGTGACACCTTCGTCTATAATCAATACGAAACTTAAGTCAACAAAACAATCTTACATTCCACCAAAAAGTCCTCATAATAAAGCCTCATCCTCTTCCAAATTACAAGTTCAACAACAGCAGCAGCAAAAAAAGACTCTGTTACAGCAACCCAAAAAAGTTAAAAAATTATCTACTAAAGAAGCTCCTCTACGAAAAGCTTCTACACTTTCGGTTAGCTCTAGCGACTTGTCTAAGACTTTGAATTGTATGTCTCCAAGTGAAGTATCAGTAAACATTTTGGGTAAGTTTATTGACTTACCAGTGCGTAATTATATCTTTACTTAAAAAAATTTGTTATTCTTTGGTTATTTTATTGTGATGAATCATGATTTGTTGGGCAAAATAAAAAAAAAATTTTATTATAATTTTTGAACTTCGATCATTAGATTAAGGCTTATGTTTTATCTTAGTTAATAAATCAAAAATTATTAATTGATATAAATTTTTTTAGGATACGTTCAAAGAAAAGAAAAAAAAAAATAAAAATAATACTAGATTATTATTTATTTATTTATTATTTATTTATTTATTTATTTTATTCTTCTTTAATTGAAAAAAAAAAAAATCGATAATGACAGATTCGTCTCAAAAATCGTCGTCTTCACGACGATTGTCATCCTCATCTGCTTCATCAGGCCAAATATCACGACATCGTTCACAACATGGCAATAATTCCGGTAATTCCGTTCCAAATGTTCCTGATATTCCTGCTTGGTTAACACAGCCGCCTGTAAGAAATGCTACATCATCATCGCAACAGTCACAGCAAGCAACTTCTTCAAGAATTGGTTCTTCACCACACAAAAAATCTCATAGTCTTACGAAGACATCAAGAGATGGAAATAAAGATATATCAAAAATGTTAGATTTGCTTGATCCTACTACGACAACATCTTCTTCAAGTCAGCCACAAACTCGAAGGACAAGCCAAAAGCAAAAAGAAGAATCAACAAATAGTAATGAGTTATCATCGTCGTCATCCAAGCAAAGTAAAAAAGCTAAAATTAAAGCCGCTACTGAAGAAGCATTGAAACAATTTAATGATCTGCAAATGGTGGAACATAAACTTGCCAGTCAAACAAATGAAGTTATGGCGAGGGTAAAACATCTTTTTCAACCAAATATGAGCGATGAAGAAGCTTTTGGTACATTAACAGGCGATGATTTATTAAACAAGAACGGATCAGGTTCAGGGTATGTGTTAAAATTATTTAAATATATACAACAAATAATAAAAAAAAAAAAAATTATCAAGAGGAGAAAAAAAAAATTTTCATCATTATTTTTTAAAAAAATTTATATTAATAAAATAATCTTTTGTTCAAAGAAATGATAAACCACGTCGTGCGCCTTCAGTTTCAAAACGTACATTATCAACCACGCCAATCAAGCCAACACCAACAAGGCGTGCAAGCCAAGAGTCAGAAAGACCAACGAAAACTAGTTTATCTGCATCTGGTATTGAACGACAAAGAACAAGAACTATAGATTCATCTGTGTTAAGTAGTATCCTTAAATCACAATCAATTCATAGTCGGTATCCTAGTGAGAATGCAATTACTATGTCAACTGAAAAGAAATCATTGAAAACGGCACGTTCAGAAGAGAAAATAAGGTCTTCTGCAGAAAAACAAAAAAAGATAGAAAAACGAATGACGATTGATTCATCAATAAAAACAATTGCACTCGAACAATTGGATAAACTTGCAACATTGCAAAATCTTAATTCAAACCGGAAGAGTTCGATTGATAACTCATCATCAATAATAAATTTGGATTTTGATAATAATGATAATCAATATGGTCAATCGCTATCACCTTTATGGCCAGGTGTGAGCAAATCAAAAACTATGCCAATAACACCACCACCATCAACACTTACTTCAAAGTTACCACCACCTTTACCTCGTAATTCAAATACAAGTCTTAGTAGTGTAGGAAATGTATCTACGTCAAAAAACATTCAAGCCACGGAAACAGATATTACTAATTTAATAGAAAATACATCATCAACTGTATCTGTTAAACGAAGAAAATCTAAAGTAGATAGTGGATCGCCTATCTCAAGTACATCTTCGACGAAAACTTCAAGTCGAACGACGACACCGACAAGTATCGCATCACATCGGTTATCTCATCCACCTCCTTTAAAAGATGCACAACCCCCGCCTCCCGTCCCAGTTATGCCGAGTATGTTACCACAGCCAAAATTAACTAGAGTTAATGAAGAAATTCCTCCAGTACCCGCAATACCTTCTTCAATTAATAGCGAAAAAAAAGTTTCAATCTCTGCATCATGTATAAAAAGCAGTGGTGATGTTTCGCCACATGGAAGAAGAAAGGACAATAAAAGTACAGATGGACATCGTCCACCATCATCTTCAACAAAGAAGAAGAATAGACCTAGAGGAACGGTATGTGGGATTATTTGCATTTTTAATAGTATAGTTTTAGTTTAGTTTTAGTACTTAAACTATAAATATCATGGTTTGGTTTTAAATTACGTTAGATGAGCGGCCAAAGTGATAAGATTACCAGACGTCAGGTTGGATTTATTTGTTAGTAACCCTATAAATTTCCATATTTCACTTACCACCTGTTTTTGTTTTTTTTTTATGTGTAATAAAAATAGACTCTTCCAGCAAATATTGCAACACCACAACAATTGGCTGCGCTAACGCTTCCCCCAATGAATGTACAACCATTATCAACTGTGAAAATACCTACAATTGTTAATCCAAATCTTAAGGCAAAAACTCCAACTTCTGAACACCCTCGGTCCGGATTAAGAAGAATACCGACCACGCCAACTGCTTCCACAAATACATATACAAAACTTCCTACACCTACAGGAACGAGAATAATAAAAAGCGGGAGTGGTATTGCATCATCCACTAAAGGAAATTCTCGAGTTGCACCTGTATCACCCAACAAATCATATCAGAAATCGACAATAACAGGTAGAAAAAGCGCTACAACTCCTAGCAGGACATCATATTCAATTTCCTCCGTTGACAAAAGTAAGAAAACTTTTAAATAAATTATCGTTTGAATAAGTTACAAAGATATTATAATAACAAATTTGTACTCTTAATAGCTTCTGAAAAAGCCACATCAAAAACAAAACAAAGAAGGCTGTCAAACTCTTTTATGAACCTTTTCACGAGCACTTCCAAAAATTCAAATTCATCCACTTTGTCTCCCAAAACAACGGTACCAACAACGAACGGGACGCCTACTTCCTTAATGTTTTCTACTCAACAAAAAAAGAAGAGTAGAACGATATCTCAACCTGCTCAACCTGCTATTACGAGTTCTTCAGTCACAAGCCTTTTAAGTTCTTCTGTTATGGTTAACAAGAACTCATTGAACTCTTCTTATCCTATGGAGTTTGAATATTCATCATCTGCTGCTAGTACCCCTAGCAATTATGCTCTTGCAAATCAAGATGACGAGTTTAATACGACAAGCGGAGAAGAAGAAACTGGTTTCTTATATGAAACTGAAAAGAAAGAAAGAGAACGCAAAGAACGTGAGAAAGAACGTAAAGAACAAGAAGCACAAATGAAAGGGACTCCTTCCATGAGTCCTAACTCTGCTTTGAAAGCATATTCCCCTTATTTATCATTGTATGAACGTTCAGAGATTTTGGATTACCCGAACGTTTATTTTGTTGGTCCTAATGCTGCAAAAGCACCTGCGAGCCCGGAATTGACTGGGTGTAATTTTGGTTTTGATGATGAAAGAGGTGACTACAAGATTATTCCCAAAGATCACTTATGTTATCGATATGAGGTCGTCGATACTCTCGGTAAAGGTTCCTTCGGCCAGGTGCTGAAGTGTTTAGATCACAAAACAGGAGAATACGTAGCTGTGAAGATTATCAGAAACAAGAAACGATTTCATTGCCAAGCTTTGGTGGAAGTTAAGATTTTGGAATGCTTAAACAAATGGGTATGTTCATGTTGAAAAAAATGCTTTATTGTATAGATTTATTATTTAATTGCGAAAAATTTTATTTTTCTTTAAATACAATGTGTACTTTAGGATCCTGATGATACACATAATATAGTTCACATGAATGATCATTTTTACTTTCGAAATCATTTATGTATCGCATTCGAGCTCTTAAGTATTAACTTGTACGAATTCATTAAGAGCAGTAACTTCCAAGGATTCAGTCTTGGCTTAATAAAAAGGTCATTGTTCAATCTATCAATTAAGATCTGAAATAAATTAGCGCCAATATATCTATAATTTACATTTTATTTAATCAATTAATAACAGATTTTGTGTACAACTTCTTAATTCCTTGTCGTTATTACAAAAGCATAACATTGTGCACTGTGACTTGAAGCCGGAGGTATATTTTATTTTACTTTTGAATCTGCATAAATTTTTAATAGAAATTTTTTTTTGATTTTGCTGATTGATTCTATTAATAGAACGTGTTACTTAAACATCCTACGAAAAGTAGTATTAAAGTTATTGACTTCGGTAGTAGCTGTTTTGAAAATGAGAAAGTATACACTTATATTCAAAGTAGATTTTATCGATCCCCTGAGGTCATATTGGGAATGACATACAATATGGCGATTGATATGTGGAGTTTAGGATGCATTCTTGCAGAATTGTTTACTGGTAAGCATATTAACCATAATGTACTATTAACGCCAAAGATGTACCTTCGAAACCGGAATTGTTTTTTTTTGCGATATATAAGTGCATATATTTATATAATTTTATAGCTCATTATATAAAAAGTTTTATTAGTAGGATAATTTGCAATTTGTAAAATTTGTAAACAATATGGGCATTTTAATCATGATTATAAATATTTATAATATTAGGTTCTTTTTAAATAATGATTAATTTTTAATTATATTCATTAACAGGATTTCCATTATTTCCTGGTGAAAACGAGCAAGAGCAATTGTCATGCATTATGGAAGTTTTGGGTGTTCCAGAGAAGTACCTGATAGAAAAGAGTACTCGGAAAAAGCTTTTTTTTGGTAAAATCATAATAATTTAATGTTCAAAATTTATTTAAATTGAAGATGAATTCTAAATCTTTATTTCAATTAGATTCCAACGGCAACCCTCGTCCCGTTGCTAATTCTAAAGGAAGACGCCGCCGTCCGAACACAAAGACTTTGGCGAACGCATTGAAATGTCAAGACCAAGTCTTCTTAGATTTTATCGCTCGGTGTTTGGACTGGGATCCAGAGAAACGAATGAAACCTGATGAAGGCTTGATGCATGAGTGGATTACAGAAGTGAAGCTTAGTGTAAGCACTAAAAATATAAATATTTATATATTTTTTTGTTTATATATTTAAATTTAATGTCTTTTATATAGACAAAGAACTACTTCACAAATTACGAATCTACGCGTCGTCAAACAACACCTTCTTCGATTCCTGCATCAAATAGCGTCGCTTCTGGACGTCATACAAATACGTCCGTAACTGGGACGAATGTGGTAGGTTGTGGTGGTGATGATAAAATAAAATATATCAAGCAGTGAAACAGAATTCCGGAGAAAATGGAAAGAGTAAATTTAAGGTTCGCAGTGGCTCCAATGCTTGTGGATGGTGCTTCTAGTAGCTCATCCTCTCTTCGAAATCATTGTCAGATGACGAGTTTCTGGATAACTCATTTCTCTCATAAGAGAAAGTAAATCCTTGTGGTGTTGCAAATAATTTGACTTTCTGGCCTTGACCCGAAGCGATCTGGTTTACGTGTCATCTTTCATCTATACTGCATGTTTTGCTGTAGGTGTGACTGCAACCTTGTTCTCAGTTTCCTGCCAAAAAAAATTTTTTCTGGTTGGGTGTTTCCTGCTTGATTACATATCATTACTGATGAAAGCAAAGAAATTTGTTTCAACTTGAATCTTTTAATTAATCAAGAAAAAAAAAAATATCTTTATTTAATCTTTTTTCTACTTTTTCTTTTTAATTATTATCAGTTAAAAACACGAAGAGCTATTCCATAAGTCAACTAAGATTTATATGAACTTAAGGAGTGAGTTACTAAGGAATTTTTGAGAACTCAAATTCTTCCAATTGATATCTTCCGGATCTTTCTTCTGTGGCTTATTTGCTTAAGATTTTCTTTACTTATGTTAGCTTTTTTTTAGTTGTTTAGTATGCAAAATATGCAAACCTATAGTTTTTTAATATAACTAGAAATACCTAAACAAACTAAAAATATAACATTATATACAATCATCAATTCTCTTAAGAAAAGAGAAAAAAAAAAACATTATATAATTTATTTAGTTAGTATTTCAAATAAAAAAAAAAAAAGGAAAATATCTTTCTTTAGCAATAAGTAATTTCACAACTTATTGTTTCTGTAATTATTCTATTATTAATTTAAAAGAAGAAAAACTTAGTTGAGGTAACAATAAATACATATACATTGGATTAAAAGATGGATAAGAAATAATAGTAATTAGAAATTGATTTATTTTCAAAATTAAAATAATTTTTGGTATTTTAAAAAAAAAAAAATGTTTCAATCATTATTGAAATAATTATTAATGTTAAAAAATATATATATAATTTTATAAGAATTCTGTATTTTTGAATTCTGTAATTAAATTTTTTTATATTACATTATATATTTTAAATTTGAAATATTTTGAAATTTCTAAATAAAAAGTATAATTAAATAGTTTTTTTTTGAATATCTGATATATAAACTTTTAAATTAAAATTTTTGCAATAGTAAACTATTGTAAATTTAAAAGTAATAAACAGTAAATCATATATATATAAATAATATAATAAATCAAATATAAATTTTTATACCAGTTATAATATTGGCTAAAATTATATTTAATAAAAAAAAAATTTTTTATTTTATTATAAATATAAAATATATTTATATATAAACTGTCTCTTTATATAAAATCATTTAAATGGGCTTTTTTTTTAAATACAATGTATTTATAAATTTATTAATTTTTAATCTTTATTTTACTATTTCTTTTTTACTTATTAAATTCTAAAAAAAAAGATTTAACCTATGTCTTTTAAAACTTTTAAATAAAAATGCATAACGTAATTTTAATCAAATTAAATTCTAAACTCTAAAGAGATATATAAAATATAAATATGAGTTCAGAAAAAAGAAACAGTTTATTAAAAGACTTGACAAAAATTTTCCTAATATTAACTATACATCTTTAGATAAATAATTTCATACTATAAAATATAATTATAGTAAATTTTTTGCAACTTTACAATTTTATGCTATTTTTATATTATTTAAAAGGAAATATTTTAAATATTATAGGATATAGATTTTTCAGGTAAATTAAAAAAATAGGTATCTTTTCACTTTTCTTATATCAGCTTTTTATACTCTTTACTAATTATAATATAAGGAGGTTTAGCAGTTACTTAATAAAATTCATGATTTTTTTTACTATTAAATAGAAAAAATAATTTAAAATACTACTTCTCAACCATTTTAGCAATTAGAAAAAATATCTATTTACTTTAGAAATATATTTAAGTTTAATTAAAACTTTTACTTTAGTTTTAAATGAATTGACTGAACCAAATCCTGAAAAATTATCGAAGAATTAAAAATGCAAGTTATAGAAATAAATGCAGCTAATTTGTTTACTTCAGCTAAAACTAGAGTTCTGAATAGATTAGGTCAAGTCAGGTTAATTAATAAACCTAACCTGAAATTTTTTTTCAGGTCAGATCAGGTCAGATTATATCAGATTATATGTTTGACCTACTAACTATATCAAAAAAAAAATGGTGTAAAATATTTTTTTTTGAAATATTGCAATTCATTTTTTTATATTAAAATCATATAAAAAGTAGTGTTGTGATCCATCATACTATCAATCCGTCAATTTGCAGATTTATCCAATTTGAAAATCATCTGAATCATTCAGATCATTCATCCAGACCAATCCATTATCTATTATCTCTATATTTTAGCAGATTAGATCTGAATCATCCAGATCGTACATATTACTTTTTTCATCCAGATTAAATTGGATTATCCATTTATTTTTAAACTAAATTGAACAGATGATGGATTCATCCAGATCGCAACACTAATAAAAAGGTAAATCGCAATACTGCAACTTTTTTTATATAAATCAATATAAAAAAAATGAATTCTGATATCACAATTCATTTTTTATATATAAAATCAATATAAAATAATATTGCAATTCACTTTTTATATATAAAATCAATATAAAAAAATGAATTCTAATACTGTTACATTATGGTTTTTTTGCATGAGATTGGTAAGAAAACTGGGGAAAACTATTTCATTAAAGCAAAATGGCGTTATTTAAACATTTGGCTAGCGAAATTCATGAACAACTCCACATTCAGAAATGCGGCTTTTAATTAATAAATTTCCGTCAAATTTTATTATCGTTTTCACTACTTGACTCGCGAATCACCAATTAATATTATAAATTTCTTAAATTTTTTGAAATTTTTTTTTTCTTTGCATTCAATTTACATGAATTCTATCATAAAAATAAGTTTTTTTAAAAAAATCCTTTTTAAAGAAAAAATTAAATATATATTTTTAACATTAAAAATATATGTAATTTTATAAGGGGAAAAGATTTTCTAAATTAGTAAAGCAAGTTATTTAAATGGATTTTGCATAAAATGTAAAAAATTAATTTTTTATAATAAAATAATAATATTTTAATATTATTCTATTCATTGGGTTTTGGTTTATAATAGTTCCAATAATTTCACATTTTCTTTTTTGTCCATCTATTCTAAAATTTTAGTAATAATTCTAAAACTACTTTAACTTTTTTTTCTCTATTAGTAAATTTTAAGTCAATAATATCAATATTAAACAGTTTTAATAAGTTTTTTTCTTATTGAATAGTTTGATGCCATATTATTTTTTATTTTTTAAATAATAGTTTAAAAGTATAATTAATATTTGTAAGAAGAAGATAATTATTTGGATAATTTATTTTTCTTTTTAGTAAATTTTGGAAGTTTTTTTTCTAATAATTTGGAAACTTTTTCTGTTTTTTTTTCAACTTTTCTTATATTTTTTACTTTACTAATTATTTTTCTTTCCTTCCTTATTTTTTATAACAAATATATAATTTGATTATGCTTTTGTTATAATAAAATTAAATTTTTTTAAACCTTACAATTTTTCTAATCTATACATAGAACTTGAATATATTTTTCTAATTTTCAAGAATGTTCTACACATAATTTTCTGATTAAAAAAAATAATAATTAATTCTACAAAATCAATAAGGTCTAAAATAAATTAGACTTTCTGAAATACTTTTTAATTTTTTAGTACTCTCTAAATATAATTTATTTATAATAATATAACAAATTTACTTATACTTTCTATTATTAATTTATCTATTACAGTCAACCTTTTGTTATAATGAACCCTAGGGTCTAGACTTCAACTTCATTATAAGGTTATAGTGAAGATTTTAAGAGATTTGATTGGTTAATTCATTATAGCGAGAGGAAATTTATTATAGTTGTCTGAAAAATTCACTATATCAAGGGTTCGCTATATCAAGATTTGACTGTACTATACAGGCTAATAAAGTTTTTTCTGTTATTTGTGACATATTTATATCATTTTCTATTTCTATATTCTCTATAAAAATAGTTTGAATAGATAAGTCATTTTCCCATCTTTCATTATAATTATTACTACTTCTTGAAATATTTGAAACTGATAAATAAATAGGTTCAAAAGGATTTTGACTTTATAAAAAGTAATTTTTTTCACATTTAGATATATTATGGCTTTTTGAAAATTTTCTGAAATAAACTGTTTATTAAAAAAATTTTCTTCCATTTTTTTAAAGTATATATTTTTTATTATATATAAATATATTATAAAATAAATGACCTTTATGATAAGATTCTTTTAAACTGACCAAGACTTTTAAGATTTTAAAAAGTTTATTATAAATCTATTGACTATTTTTGTAATACAAAATTCAAGTTTGTTAAAAATATTACATAATTTATCAATAATTAAATTAAAAAAAATTTTAAAAATTATAGTAAATTTTGCTAGTAAAATGATTAATTCATGATCTGCCAGTGAACCATAAAATTTGACTATTAAAAGGCGGTGATAAGTTCATATATATTTTTAAATTTTAACAATAATTTAGAATCTGCGATTCCGGAGAAAAAATATGGGATAACTCTCCTTCTATTGGTCATAGAGATATAAAATTATTACCATTAAATGCGTCTCAATGAGACGAATCTAATAAACCAAATTTTATTTTCATACGACCACTAGATGATGAGTTATCTTTAAAATCTTTAAAAAACTAAATTTTTTTTTTTCAAATTCAAATTTTCAGCTCTTATGAAAGTGTCTTTTGGTGCTTAAAATTTTTACTGGTCTTTTATTATTAAGACAGCCAAATGGCATATTTTTATGGCTATAATATTAGTTTTCATATTATATTTTAGTAATATGTACCTTACATTGCCGGAACTGTAGATTCTGTACTATTAGTAAATATATATATAACTTTCACCGGAATTTAATAGCCAAGTTTTATGGTTCACTGGCAGATCACGAATTAATATATTATATTACACCATTTGAAATAATTTATATATAATATTATTATATGACTTACTTTATTTTCTGATTATAAAAAAGTCAAATATTGTAACAATAAAACTATACTTTACTTATATTTATTTTTTCAGCCCTCCTTTGAATAACTTGTAATTTAAAGTTGATATAATGTCATATGAACTTTTAAAATTGTGAATTAAATATAATTAGTTTAATATTTTAAGATGTTTTCTAATTGTTAAACTTTAACTTCGCTAAAGAAATAATGGCTAATATTTCTTCCTTCTGATATATTGGACAAATAATTATGAAATATTTTATAGATATTCAAGCTCATAAAATAGATGTAAATATCATTCTTATTATTACTTTGTATATATTATATAATAACAGTTTTTTTATAGAATTGTATAATAGCAAAATAGTATTTTTTTTAGAAAAATAAGATATTCTATAATAGTCATATGGATTTATTTTTTTTACATAATAACTAAAAATTATTAATAAAAATTAAGATACTAACTTTACTTGTCTTTATATTTAATAAATTACCAAAACTTTAATTTTGTGCATATTATATGTATTTACTATTGCAACTTAAAATTCCTTTAGTATTTCTCAATAATAAATATTATATAATATACTAACTAGATTGCTATAAATATAAATACTTTACAGAAACTTTAAGTTTTCAAATGATATCATTTCAATATCATTTCAATATCATTTCAATATAAATTTAATAATTAATATCGATACGATATCAAAATAAAGTATTATTATTTGATATCATTTTGATATTAAATCGATATTGAAATAATATTAAAATGATAATTAAAATGATATCAAAATGATACTGTTAAGATAAACTTAATAATATCGATTCTATATTGATTAAAAATGTTAAGTTTCTGTAAAGTATTTGTCCATTACTATTTGATATTAGATTTTGATATATACTATTGCAGCCTAAAGTTTTCTTAGTATTCCTCAATAAATGTTATATAATATACCATTACACAGGTCAAAAAGTGAAAAATCAGGCAAAAATCAGTCACCAATCAGTCATCAATTGGTGACTGATTGATGCCTGATTTTTTACTTTGCTGTAATTGCTAATATTAGATTTTGATATATACTATTGCAGCCTAAAATTCTCTTAGTATTTCTCAATAAATGTTATATAATATACTATTGTAAATTGATTTGTTGTGATCACTGATATTAGATTTTGATAAATGCTATTGCAATCTAAAATTCCTTTAGTGTTCTTCAATAATATTATATAATTTACCATTGTAGATTGAATTGCTATGATCACTGATATTAAATTTTGATATATGCTATTACAGCCTAATATTTTTTAATAAATGTTATATAATATACTATTGTAGACTGGATTGCTGTAATTGCATATAATATAAAATAAAGCATCTTTTTTGTAGAAATCAGAAAAATCTTTATTGAAATAAACGGGAAATCTTATTGCAAAAACTTATTAATTACTATAAATTGGATAATAATCAAGCTAATTTTATTCAACTCCAATAATAATAGTAAGGGAAAAGTAGATGTATTGTTAAGTTTGTTATCACCTTTCCTTCTTTTTCATGAATATTTAGTTGCTGATTAATAAATATAAATACTCAAATACTCATAGAAATTTTTAATGTAGATCAAGATCTTAATGATTGTATCACCAATATTTTAATGGAAAATAGAAGAGAAATCTATTATATTAAAATAGGTGGAGATGGCCATAATGTTAGAAGAAAGCAAAATCATGTAATGACTTTTTGTCTATTGAGATATAGTACTTAAACCTAATCATCAATTTAGGTATATTTATATATATATATATACAGTATTTGTGTTTTATTTTATTAATCCAATTGACCGAGTTAAAAAAATGCCAATTGAATTTTATTTTTCTAAAATGCGCCTAATAAATTTGTATAATTGTTTAAAAAAAATTATGCATATTTATATTTTTTTATAGTGTTATAAAAGACCTGCTTTATTTCCTGCAATTGATTTATTTAATTATATTCCTGATCTTTTACAAATTTCTGATATATTGATGGAATGTTCTTTAGAGATTTATTTAAAAGAAATGATTTTGAACAAAACGTCAAGGAAAAGATTGAAAAAAAAAATCATGAGCAGGTACATTTATTTATTTATTTTTAAATTAAATCGAAACTTTATATTTTATTTATTAGGTTAAATTATTTTTTGGAGGAACTACAAATGGGAGGTGGCAAGAAAATAAAGCCCGTTGTCTATAATATACTGGTATTTGAAAATAGACAGATTTGTGATTTAGATGATATTACTTTACCAACAATTTACTTAACTAATAATATTCCAAATGAAATAACATGTAATAACATTAATATATAAGATAATGGTTGACGAGTCTATTCATAATTTTTGTATAAATAAAATGTAAACTTGATAAAATTTAATATTTAACATGTAAAATATTTAGTACAAGGTGCATAACTACATCAATAAAAATAACTATACGATATACGATATATGATAAACACAATAGCCATCCTTGATTGTAAGCTGATTGTTGAAGAGGATAGCGTGGTAGCCGTGGTAGAATAGGTCTATATCACGATGGGTTTGATTGATTATTATTAGTTTTGCAAGTAACAAGTGAGAGTTATAGCACGTTGATGTTCTTGATTTAATAAACTGTTTTAATTGTTTTGATTATAACGGTAAATAAAAAATTTACATTTGTACTTACTCGTCAACAAATTCTCTCGAATCAGTTGTAAACTTGCAGGTAACTGTACCACATTGAAAGATTCGGTCATTTTCAACTAACTCATTACCCAGCTGAAAGTAACTTCATAATCCCTCATAATTTACAAAAAGTACGTATCCAGTTGTATTTGTTTTAGGATCTTGTCAACAATTCCAATGTTCATAATTAAGAATTTGCTTTAATCTCAGTTCCCCTTACTCACCTTTAAACGTACAATGATATTTTCGTAATGAAGATTTATATCTAAAAAGAGGCTCGTTTGAAATAAGTAAACAAAGACATTTTCAGGAAAGACATTTATTGAAAGTCTTGAAATCCCACAGAATGTTGATTGAAACCCAGAAGCCTCTTAATGAAGATTATAAATGCGCCTTGGTAAGTTACCTGGTTTTAAGGGCATCCTTTTGTTTTCTTCGTCAAACATATTTATCAGCTTATTTTCGTCATCCTCCGTAGAAAAAGCATTTTTCAACTTTTGATAAAAATGTGATTATAACTTCGTCCCAATGCTCATTCATCACTTTATCCGTATCGGTTATTGCTTAAATTTATACTGTCCATTTTCCAATCTTCCCTCATATGTGAATATTCAGCGTGAAGAGGAATTTGATCAAGATAACACGGTATGCCAAAAATAATTTCCTTACAATGGCATTGCTATGTTTTTAGTCGATCAGATCATTAAAAACGAGTGGAACACATGTTTATGATTATTATGTCGACATCGTAAAATCAATTCATTAATTCATTAATTCAATTTCATCAAATCGGGAGGAAGAATATAGTAGTATAATTAATTAAATTGCGATAAAAGCTATGAAATTTGGGTTTCTAATTTCCTCTTACCTTATCACTTTTTGCTCCCTTAACGATGACATTCGAAATTTTCCTCCGACGTCCTTTTAATACTTGTCTCAATTTTTGTACTGTTTTTGGTAAATTTCGATTTAAATAGTTTAAATAAGCATAGTCAAACCCATTTTTTTCAAAAAAGAAACAAGTCTTCTTCAGGAGTAATAGTAGCACAAGAAGAAGCCACATCACAAACATTAGAACATGATATAAATAAACATTACGAAGAAGAAAGTGAAGATTGGTGGGAAGTTTATCGATCGTACAAATATGAAACAACAGATAATCTTGGAGATTTATTTAGAGTCGAAGCTCAAGTCATAAATAAACAACATGCTGAATTACATGATTTACAAAAAGCGGGTATTTAAAACTTAAGATACAGAAACACAAGAGGTTTATAATGCTGGAATTGGATTTCAGCAGTTTCAAACTAATTATAATACTAGTACAATTGCTGCTGCAGGAACTATACAACATCAAGATGATGATTTAGTAGACGTAAAGCAATATCAGCGAATTCATGTTTTTCAATATAGTGTAAGAGGAATGTTAATCGATGAATATGAGGAAGAACGATTAGCTATCAACTGGAAATCGATATATTTAATCAATGGGAATATTCTAGCGAACACGAAAATAGTCAATCTGATGAATTGGGTTTTAAAATTTTGCACACATAATATAATCTAGTTAATCTCAATTTTTACAATGTTTAGCGTGTGAATTTCCTGCTTAGTCGTACATGTGATGTTCTTGATTATATCACAATTTGAAAATCATTTCCCGTTTAATCTGATAATTCTGCTGATGATCTATTAACGAAATAAATTTCAACTTTTGCTTCTTTGTTTAAACTATTTGGAATGACAGGCGTAAATTCTCCAAAGTCCACATTATATCACTGGATTAATAATTCCTCAAAAAAATTGTTACTTGATTTTCGTCCCCTGCATAAGCACTATACTCGCAGAATTATCCCTTCAGTTTGCATTCCTTTCACTGATCTTAAAAAACATTTATTTGAACTTCCCTCAAAGTCTTTACCATTTGCAGTATTAGAACCTCACGATAACGCAGGTATTACTCAAAAATTGCTTATAGATCAAGGTTGGAATGTTCCTTGGATTTTTGTTGAGGGAGAAGAATTATGGGAAGTTAGTCGAGAGCTTGGAATTTTAGAAGAAATCGATGATGGTCCAAATAATGAATTCAAAAATCGACTTAAATGGACGTTATTTCAACCTAGTCCATTTTTGGTGAGAACTATAGATCGTATCGAAGAATCACTTAAACATTTATCATCGAATCATGTTGTTAATTGTCTCGATATTGCTTGCGGAAATGGAAGAGATGCTGCGTGGTTAAGTTCGCGTCAAACTATTGATTGGCGAGTTACCGCAGTTGACGCAATGTCAGTAGCCCTAGATCGTACAAGACAATTAGCATCAGATTTAGACGTGTTATTTAAAATTCAAACTTTTCACGCTAAAATCATGGTAGATGGATCTGTCAAAAGATATCAAGAATCTTTGTCATCACAAACATCTATGAAAGATGGAGATGGTGCCTCTGAGATGATCAAAACTCGACCAAAATTTGATAATATTCCTGAAAAAGAGATTGAATTTCTAAATAAAGAATACGATCTCGTGATTTCGATTCGTTTCTTACGTCGGGAATTCTTATCCAATATGGCAAGTCTTGTAAAACCTCGTGGATTTCTTTTAATTAGCACATTCGTTAATGATGGAAGACATACTTATAAGAATCCGCGAAGTAATTCTCATAGATTAGAGCTTGGTGAACTTGCTACTAAATTTCGAAAAGGATTTGAAATTATAAATGATGAAATTGAATTAATCGAAGATGGAAGACCGGTTAATTCATTTTTAGCAAGAAAGAAAATATAGTACATTTACAAAAGTGACACTCGTGACCTGCGTATATTATCATCAGTCACGTCGTACGGGTCAAGAAGGCTACATTTGTCATTTTTCTGCATTATATTATTTATTTATTTATTTATCTTTTTTTTTTTATCAATTAAAGCTAAAATGAAGCGGTAAAAATTGGATTGTCAATTTATGTTTATTTCCATAGTCAAAATATTGAAAATCACAACAAAGTACCTGTTGTGACATAGATATACTTTTTGATAATGACACAAAAAAGAAAAAAAAGAAAAGACGACTTTTTGACATAAGGTGATGTCAGAACATATGCAGTGTACAAGGTGCACAGAATAGTAAAAAAATGACGTCTAAGATAAAAAAACTCCTTTTTTTTACACAAAACCAATTAATTATATAATTATATTCTTCCTTGTCGAGTGAATTAGTTAGTTCTTTAATTCTTAAGCGCGACATTTTCGTGTTATTAATAATTATAACCAGGCGTTACGTTAGTGAACGATTAAAACTTATTAACCGCAACGTGTGTTTGAGAAAAATCTTTTTGTTCGAGTTTTGTTCACGATTGTAGCGATTCTCTTTTGCGATAAATTTATCTATAAAACTCATTTTGTGTTCTTTCATTTCGCTTTTTTTCTTCTAAAAACTTAGTTTTGGACTTATCATTAGATAGATTTTTTAGCCTATCATATGAAATAATAATTGATATATTCAAAATTCTTGAAAAGAAATATTTGATACAATATTACAATGACACATCCTTCAGTTCAAAGAACTGCTTACCAAAATTCATATTACCCAGAAACACTTCCACAGCCCACCACTTCTTCCTCATCTCGTCCATCTCAACCGGCGCCACAAACAGCTCAAGCACTTCCTGGAACTTTTCCAACAGCTCGTAACGCATATCATCCTCAACCCACATTACAACAATCTTCAGAACAGTCCTTGCCACATTATCATCCACCAACGTCAGCGCATCCTCATCCACCACCTGCTCACCCTCCTACTTCGCCACCATTAACGCCTTTTCCTCCGGATATGAATGGTAGCGCACCTAGAACACGTCCAGATGTCGCAAATGGCTTACTTAAAAAAGAAATGTATGAATATAAAGCTCCATGGCCTGTGTACGGTTTAGATTGGTCCAAACGACCTGGCGAAAAATCATTTAGGCTTGCCCTGGGAAGTTTTCTTGAAGAATTTTCCAATAAGGTTCGTTTTGTCAGAACTTTACTTTTCTGATAGCGAATGATCATTGATTTTATCCCAATGTCATAATATAATTCCAATGAGGTCGTTTAAACTATGTTTATCTAAACACAACATTCAACAGGTTCTAATTCCTGTTGTGTTTTATTAATAACACGTTTTTACAACAATAAAAATATAATGACATGTCGAAATTCTGGATTTCATACTAATGTTTTACTTTATTTATTAAAGCTACAAATTATTACGCTTGCCGAGCTTGCTTATGATGATTACGTTCGAACTCCTAATACTGACTTTGTAAAAATCGCTGAAGCAGATCATCATTATCCAATTACTAAAGTATTATGGGAGCCATTCAGGGTTGGTTTTTTTTTATTGACCATATAAAACATGCTCAAACTAAACTGATCAATTAAAATTTAAATAAATTTTAGGGAGGTTTAAATACTCCTGACTTATTAGCAACAGCTGCTGACCACTTGCGATTGTGGGAAATTACGGATGAAATAAATAATGCAAGCAATACAATTGGCGCTAATAGTCACACTGGATTTAGACAAAAAAAATTAAATCACAAATCAATATTAACTAATGTAAGGCTAATATATTTTAAAATTAGATTTTAGATAAAAATTAATAACAACACTTTTTAACATAGACGAAAGCTGATTTTAATGCTCCACTTACATCCTTTGATTGGAATGAAGTCGATCCAACACTAGCAGTAACATCAAGCATTGATACGACATGCACAGTGTGGAATGTTGAAACAAGACAAGCAAAGACGCAGCTTATTGCTCATGATAAAGAAGTTTATGATGTAGCATTTGCAACTAGCTCGACTGATGTCTTTGCAAGTGTTGGTGCAGATGGAAGTGTTAGAATGTTCGATTTGAGGTTAGAATTATTCCTCATAATGTTGTTATTTTTAAAAGGAAATTTAACATTTCTTGTTTTCTCTTTCAAATTAATAGAGCACTAGAACATTCTACAATTATATACGAAACAGTAATGCCACATCCATCACAAGTAAATGCATCTAACCAAACACAGTCTACTGCATTGCTTAGGTTATGTTTTAACAAAATTGAGCCTCAATATTTGGCTACCTTCCATATGGATTCTACTGATGTTCAGATACTAGATGTAAGAGTTCCCGGTGTTCCCGTTGCAGAATTAAGAGGCCATTCATCAACTGTTAATTGCGTCAATTGGGCACCAAACCATAGAGGATATCTCTGTAGTGGTGGTTAGTAATATATACTATCTGAGTGAATATTTTTTTTCCATAATTAAATTTAATATTATTTTACAGGAGACGATTCTCAAGTACTAGTTTGGGATATAAATAATATGTCAATGTCTCATAATAATGTTAATAGATATAACCAGGATCCAATCTTGGCTTATAAAGCTGCTAATGAAATTTGTCAATTAAGTTGGAGTTGCAAATGTCCTGATTGGGTAGCAATTGGATTTGGAAACACTGTACAAGCTCTGAGGGTATAAGTGTGCTATACTTGGTTTTTGGACAAAGTACAAGACTGGATTTTTTCAAATGTTTATTAAGAAAAATTTTACTTGGTAATGATATTCTTGCCAAAGTTAATAGATTAACTCATTCTTATTTGATATATATTCATTCATAAATATAAATTATTTCGGTTATAATGAAAAAAAAATTTTTTTTTTGATTAAATACTGGAACAAAATTAACCAATTTAAAGTATAGGATTAGAATCCTTTTATATCACTTGTAAATAGATTTTTCACATAACTTTCTTTTATTCATTTTTAATAACAATTTCATTTATTTGATAGTAATCTGATTGTTACTATATTTTTATTTTGTTTTACTTCATACTTTATTTTACTTTTCCAATTAAAAAAAATATATATATATTTATATATAAATATATATCAGATATATTATATAAAAAAAAAATTATTTTTATTTTTTGGAAATTACTAAATTTCACCAGTGGTACTATAAAATTTTATATTATTATATATGTAATTTTTTATTATGTAGCCATCATAAAATTTGTTACCAATATCTGTTTTGCATTTTTATTATTTATTCTCTATTTGTTTACTGGTAATTGTTACTACTGAAAACAAATCAATAAACTAATAATTTTAGTTAAAATTCATTTGATATTAAAAAATTTAGACTTTAGAGTTTCTATTTAAATAAAAAGTAATTTCTTATAGTAATTGAATCTGATTTTAAAGGTAGTAATATAGGATAAGTTTCAATAAAGTTTCATTATATTTTTTATTAATATTTAAAAATATATATAGAATTTCTATTATCTAAATTAATTCAATATATATTTTTTTAATAATGAAAATCTGGTTATTAAAATTTAAAATATATAATATATCTATATAATAAAAATATTAAAATATCCAGAAATATAAAAAATAACATAATATATAAATTAAATTAACTAGAAATCACTTAATTATTATTATTGAAATTAAAATTAATCTTGTTGAATATTTTTATTTATTTAAAATATTCTTAATTTCTTTTAATTAATTTCTTTTACATTTTAAAACTTTAAATTTATTACTTCTACTATTAATTAAAGCTTATTTAATCACAAAAAAAAATACCTATTACTTATTAGTAAATTCATATTAATTGAAATTAATATCAATGATATTATTCAAATTAGCTTATATAATATATAATTAATTTGCATTTTTTTTTTATTTTAAACAATTGTAATCTAATTTGATTAAACGTATAAACAGTAGAATTTAAAAATAAAAATACTATTATAATGTTATAATATCTATAAATAAATTTTATATAATTACTATATATTATATTCCAGATATTTTAAAGTTTAATCCTATATTTTTTTCTATTATACAAATTTTTACTATTGATATAAAAGGTATTTAAAACTTATAAAATAATTAAAATATTGTTATATATTACAACTAGATTATAACTAATTTCTATTCAGGGTGATTTAACAATTTTTTATCTAAAGTGATTTAATCTGATAATTTTATATATTTTTATATAATTTACCTAGTGATATTACCTTATTGGCTAATTAATATACTAATCATTTCTTATGTTTATTTTTTTTAAATATACTCAGATAATCTTTTTTTTTTCTTTAAGCTTTTTCACTCCTTTGCACAGTACTTAAGATATGTTTTCTTTTTTTTTTCATTTGCTTCTTGCATTTTGTTTCCTACTAATTTTATTTTATTTTTTTAGGTTCTTTAACTCTTTTAGTTTTGCAATTAATTTTTTATTTCATTTTTATATTTCATTTCTTACATTTTGTATTTCACTCTTTTAAATCTTTCAGTTTTTCTCTACAATTACTAAAGTATGTTTTTTATTTTTTTGTTTTCGTTTATTTATTACATGTAATTTTTGTTTCTTACTAGTTCTTACTAACTTTATTTTTTCTTTTATTTTATGGGTTTGGTTTTTACTTAGTTCTCTGTTTATCTTATTTTTATTCCTTCTTCATTTTTTGTTTTTTTTTTCATCTCTTTGTTTTTTTTGCTTTTTTTATTCTTTTTTCTATTTTTTCTTCATTCCTTTCATTTTTTTTTATTTCTACTTCATTTCTTTCATTTCTTTCATTTCTTTTATTTTTATTTCATTCCCGCTTTATCTTTTTTATTCCTTTACACTACCTTTTATTCTTTCTATTTCTTTTTACTCCATTTCGTCTCCCCTTCATTCTTTTCATTTTCTTCATTTCCATTTGATCTTTTTCCTTTTATTTCTTTTACTTCTCCTTTATTCCATTTCATTTTTTTCTTTAATTCCCTTTACTTCTTTTATTTCCTTTCACTTTCTCTATTTTTTTCATTCACCCTCATTCTTTTTCTTTTTTTTATTATATATTCTCTTTTCTTTATTATTATAACTCATTTTTTTTGTTATTCTTATTAAAAAATTTAGTATTTTAAATAGTATGAATTTGTTTTTTTCAATTAATGATTCATGTAATTTATTAAAAATTAATAAATTGCTATAAATTTTTAATGCAAAAATAATCTAAGTATGTTTATTATATATTTAATAAAATTTAACCAATCAAAAAATTTTTAAAAATTTACAGAGGATTTATATGCAAATTACAAAGTGAGAAATATTAAAATTTGAATAAGTGGGTGATCTTCACTCAAAAAGAAAATTTACTTTTTTAGAAGTACTATATATCATAGAAAGATATTATAATCTGTGATATATGGTATTTAAAATTAAATTTTATAATACTAAATACTATCTAATTGGCAATTTTTTATATAAGTTAAAATCAATACTATTAGATATATATCAAATACTAAATATGTGTAAAATATATATATGATATATATAATAATACAATATGCAGCAATTATAAATATATTGAATACTAATATTTGTAATATAGATATCATGTATATAATATATATATATACAGTCAATTCTAAATATAATGAATTTTTTGTTTCAGAAAGTTTAATTATAATATATTAAACTGACTAGCTAGTTTTATTTATAAGTAATTTAGGCCAAATTGTAATACTGGCTAAAATTATAATTTCATTTAATATAAATTTTAAAAAATTACTAGTAATTCTGTCTAGCATTATAAAATTGGTCTAAATGATTACTAAACCATTTATTATAGAAAGTATAAAGTTATTATATAGCTGATATATAGGAATTAATTAAGTTCAGTTCAGATGTATTATATAATGTTTTATTAGTAAAATTATTATTGCGGCAGATTTATAAAATTTGGCAAAAATCCTGCTACGCTCTCGGGAATTAAAATTGGCTTACAGAAATATTAAGCTTTTTTCCTAAAAAATGTCAAATATGACACATCTTTAACACTGAAAAAATTGGTTAAGTAATGGAAAAATTGATTAGACGCAAGATTTGGAGTATAAAAAATTTTTAGGATTCATTTTTGTCTGTTCACTAATAAATTTGGGAAATTTAATAACTAAAATATTGTCAAATATTTATTTAATTTAACATAACAGACAAATTTAGGGTATTTTATAAATCTACCGTAATATTTATAAAAAATTAGTTTTGAAAATTATAATTCAATATAATAATAAAACAAAATTCCAGTACATTATAACTAAAATTAACTGTATAATATCAGGTTATTTAGATATACAGTATATATATTTTTTTATTTATAATATAACTGGTCGAAACCCTATTTAAACATTAAACTGTACAGAAAATAAATAGATGAGAGTTCTCTACTTCCACTATGCAATAAGAATGTCTAGGTATATTTGTGTCAAATGACACTTCGCACTAAAAAGAAATAAAACAAATAACAAAAAACAAAATGAAAATATAAAGGTTAAAGCTGATAACAAAACTACCCTATAATTACTACACTCCTAAAACTAAGCCTCACTGATCATTCTATATGGAATTCCTTAAGATACTCTTAATTTTCTTAGCATTGATTTAATATCAGCTAAGCCGCCTAAATTCTTGTCAATTTTCTTGGCTCGCTTAATTTTCTTTAAAGCTCTAAATAGTTCAGATTAGTTTAGGTTGAAGAGTAATCCAGAATCAGACTAAAAAATTACTTCATTTCGGCCTGATCTGAATTATGTTAAAAAGATAACCCAAAATTGGACCAGATCAGACCAGTTATTTAATTTAGTTTGGTCCAGTCCTATAATAAAAAATCTGAAATTCTAATTGGCTGTTATAATATTACATGTCCAAAATTAAAATTTTTACCAAAATTATAACTGTATTCTAATTCCATAATTCTGGCTCTGTAATGAACTACCTGATATGTGTAGCTTTGATTTAAGCCTATATTTGTTTTGTGTAATGTATATACTATATAAGGAAATTATACGTCTTTATGCACTAATATTACATAAAATGAACATAGACTTAAAACAAAACTACACATGTCAGGAAGATTGCTACAGAACCAGAATTATAAAATTAAAATACAGGCAAATTTTTGGTCCAGTCCAATTCCAATCTGTTTAATTCAATTTAGATTAGATTTATAATCCTAGACCAGACTGAACCAGACTAAATATTTTAGTCTGGATTGAAGCATCAACCCAAATTGAACTAATTATAATTTTTGGTCTGGATTGCTGGATTAGATCCAGACCAGTTAGAGCTTTATTTTAGATCAAGGGCTTTCCAAAGAGCCTAAATTTATAAAAAACGGATAAGTGAATTCCAAGATATTTGCATTTAAGTATATTAAAAAGTTCATACCTCAACTTTAAATATAAATATCTCTAGATTTAATGATTCAATTAGTGAGCTTTTTTTTCGCCTATAAAGTTTAGAACAAAAGCTTTTTAAAAATTGACAAAATTGGGAACCTATTATAACTGTATAGTAAATAGTAATTTAGATTTATAATTTGTGTCAAAAAGATAATTTCAAAAAGCCTAAAATTACAGAAAATGGATTAGTGAATCTTGATATATTTGCATCTAAAAATGGTAATACAAACTCTGATATAAAATACTTTACAGAAACTTCAAGATCATAGTGATGGCTTAATGTGCAATAACTGCATTATAAATACATAGTGATCACATTATGTAATTGTAAAGAAATTACATATATGCAGTTACTGCGCATTAAGCCATTGCTATGATTTTGGAGTTTCTGTAAAGTAGTGTTTTGCACAAATCGATTTGTGATATGATGTAATTCTGATTACTCCTGAATAATAAA